AGGGTTTTGAATTTATTTATTCACATGATATAATGCATGCAAAACGTCTTGATTTTAATCCAATTAAATTTAGAAAATATTTGGACTTTAAACGATTCACTAATATTTAATTTGAAGCACACTTTAAAAATAATTTACAAAAATAATTTTTCGTTTCCCAATAAGTGCTCTCAAATTAATTAGTAATCAAATCCAATTAATTTTCATAATTTAATTAATATAAATCAAGTCATTTAATTAAATATCATGAATCCAATGCATGAATAATAATAATAAACAATTAATTATTCCATGCATCAGTTAATAAATAAATAACAGACAGAAGCAATTTAAATGGCCAATGGATTCAGCTTTTAACATCTAAAACCTATTCTTGCTGTGCGGGCTTCCTTCACTAGTCTGTAAACATCCATAGGAAGCTTGTACGCGTTAGGAGAAGTAAAATACTGCTTGAAACGAACCCCGAGGACCCCACACGCGCTCACACGCGCCTGGAGCAAGCAGAAGGACAACACACGCGCTTCCACGCGCTGGCACGCGCCCCCACGCGCTGGCACGGGCCAGGGGCGCGTGGGACGCGCCTCCACGCGCCTGCACGCGCGTGGAGGAGTGTGGCTTTGGCTGACATAGTCAGCGCGTGAGCTCCACGCGCCTGAGGTGCTGACTTGGTCAGCACGTGAGATCCACGCGCCTTGTTTTTTTTTTTTAAAGCTATGACGGCGCGTGATCTTCACGCGCGCTTCTTGTGAGGCTGCATACCATCCTCCATGTAGGTGCGCTGCACCTTATCAACTCCAGGGCTAACTTTGATCCAAGGGTCCTGATAGTGGTTGCACCAAATTCTGGTGTACAGCGAAGCATGTGATCATCAGTCCTCCTATCTTCGGCCAATACCTCGCCGCCGGCAATTTTTCGGTCGCCGGAAAAACGCCGAAAATTCCAAAAAATATTTAAAAAATTCCAGAAAATATAAATTAAGCCTCAAAAAATTCCAGAAAAATTCCAAAAAATTCAGAAAAATTCCAGAAAATTACTGAAGCATAATTTAACCCTTTTGGACCTTCTTGAAGCTTCATAGCATCCTTTGATGAATATTACATGGCTTTAAAAATATTTACAACTTGAAATACAATGGGAAAAATAAATTACATCATTGAACTTTCAAACGGCTAAATCAAAGCCTTAATTATATTCATCCAAAGATAAAATTACATTCAATATTCTTATAAGCTTCATCCATGGCCCAACCATACATCATCATTCATTCACAATTATTCATACATCATCATGTATCAATATATATCAACATATTAAATCATACATCAACATACATCAATAAAAATATATATGAATATAATTTTGGATCCATGAATGATGATTTTCATAAAATCATGATCTCTAGTAATGAATCAAACCATGCTCTGATACCACTGTTGAGAAACGTGCAAGTTTTAAAAACTTTTCGAGGGATTTAAATTCATAGATCTTGATTCATTACATAGAGACAAGTTTTACGCAAAAATAAAATATAATGTATCATTCAATTAACAGATTGAATACTTACATCAAAGGTCTGAGTAAACCTTTAAAACTTTCCTCTAAAGTGAATGTTCTCACTTATTGTAGATCCCTTAGCAAGATGCCTTCTCCTTGGATCTCCATCTTCTTGGTAATTATTTTGCCTTTAGGAATCACTCATATGCCCCCCATGAATGACCTTAGAAAACTAGGCTTGTGGGAGCCTCCATTAGATGAGAACATAAACCCTAATTTTCTAGAGATAGAAAAGTTATTCCTTTTTTTCTTCTCATCAAAATCACCCCCAAAATATACATAGACCATGTATATTTATAGGCAACATAAAGGTAAAGAAAAGGAAACAACTAATCCTTCTCAATCTCTAATTCACATGTCTCAAATCTAATATGATTCCAATATCAAGTTGGGCTATGAGTGAGAATCCATTGGGCCTATTATTTTATTGGCTACAATGAATTAATAATTGGCCCGGTCCATGGACCCAATTCAATTAATTCATAAATTAATTTCTACTCCACTAAAAGAAATTAATTGAACTCCAATTAAATAATAAATAACCTCTAAGTCAATATTGCACTTTGACCCCTCTATGCATAATTAGTTATCGGATAAATAATGCCATCAATCCGACTACCTAATTAATATATTTATTTTGGTACCTTTGATTATTTCTGGCTCGATCACAATAAAACATTTGTTCGACAAAAATAATAATTTAATAAATAAATATATAATAAATCATTTTGTCTAAAATCATACGAAGGCCTTCGAATTTACTTTGTGATCAACCATAATCAATACAAAATAAATACAAGTAGCAATGATACAAATATTGAAAATATAACCCTCTAACTATTAATTACATAACTACCCGAAGTGTCGGTCTAAGGATCCCGAAGAATCCGCCGAACAAATCAAAGTAATTATTAATTAATAAAAGAGTCTATACTTTTCTCATGCTTAAGAGTCAAATGCCATGACGGTGATAGGGAGTAATTGCATACGACGGCTCTCGCAATATATCTCAACCTAACGCGGATCCAATTCAAGTCTTCATTAATTATGAGTCCATCCATAATTACCGACTATGAACAATTTATAATTACTATTTATATATCATGCATTGATTGCCATCACATACATATATATAAATATTTCTTGTAATTACATGGACACTATCAATTTCATAGTGAATCGAAATATAATACATTAAATTCACCAATTGTATAAAACATAAATATTTCAGAAACGTCAGGAACATATGCCAATTAATCCAAACAGGAATTTGCTATACCAGGGCATATAAATCCCAACAATAATCACTTAAATTGTGAGGATGTGGCCGTTCTCGCGTTATATTGAAAGCATGTAAGAGCAATATCAATGATAATGGCCAATTAATCAACCGATGCATTGTTGTGTGATTAGCAATTTAACATGTAAACTATATATAGTCATTTAAATTGTGAGGATGCGACAATTCTCGCTTTACATTAAAAATATACATGATTATGACGAATTAATCGACCAACAAAATTACTAGTTATAAATGCTGACTAATCTAACTAACATTGAAGTCGATAGAACGAAACTATGGAATAATTAAAAAATATGAATACCTTTCTTGATGTTTTGATTGAGAGACCAGGAACAATAATAATTGGGGGTCACTATTCAAAAAAAGTTTGGTGTCATCCAATTGGTGTTATCTCAATTAAATGCATGTGTGTCTCTCTCTTTCAATCTCTCTCCTGTTTCAATGGACCGATTAAAGATGCTGAATTCACATTGTTGGCACATTCACCAGTTCAATGATCTGTAATTGGGGCCCACATTCTTCTGGTCTCACATCAGTATAAATTTATATAGCAAACCCAATGCTACACCACCTGCTAAAGCTCCTCTATCAAAATTAGTAAACAGAAGGGATTATAATGGTAATGAGCATCCATTACAAGCTCTCTTCGCATATAATATATATATAAGCTTCTTGCTGGTTCTGCATGTAAACCGCATTTACTAGTGTTTTTTTCTTTTTATAATATGCGGGTAGGAGTTTATATATCTGATTTATTCATTATTTATGAGTCCCAAAGTTATCTTTGGTGGGAGTAAAATTAGTGATACACAATATTGTTCTCGTCATTTTTGTCTTTATTTCGTATGAATTACAGCCACTTAGTGAAACAAATAACCAACTCTAAAAATGAAACTTCGAACTTATGGCTTTGGGTCTTTTTTGTAGCCTCATGGCTTTGGGCCTTTCATGTAGGGCTTGGGGTATGCCCCATTTGCATCTGTAAATCATTTTTCATTTATATCATTACTCTTATTCACCGAAAAAAAAAAACATGTACCTAGGTAGGTACGTGTATAAATTAAATTATATCTGTTATATCCCCATCTTTTCACTTTAAATGTGTGCACAACCTTGTCCTGAAGTATACCAACTGATTTAGGAAGCATTTAGGTTGATCTGTATTCTCCTGACTTCCATATTCTCTGCAATAGTGAGAAAATCTCCATAGATGACCCCTACCCCACAGTGCACTGGGAAAGGGAATCAACCCAACTTTTTACAAAATATGGGGGGGCTCATTTTATTTTGAATTGATACCAAAGTTCTTCGGATCATCATGAAATGAGGTATATTGGAGATGATTTTGATTCTTTACCGTTTATTTAACTCTATATTGTCAATTTTATGATATCTAAATCGTTTATTTTTTAAGAATTTTGAATAATTCTGAACCATTCATTTAAGACTTGAATCAATTCTAATCATATAAAATGAGTTTGGTGTTATATTTTTGGATATTAGATTAGGACAAAATGAGATATTCAAACAAATATCAATTCTTTAATCTTGATTGAATCAAGGCCATTGATGGTAATTTTCAATTTTTTTCTAACCAACTTACACACATAACCACTTTAACCTTCATAGCAAGCCCTTATTATATAGTCTTTAATCCATTCTCTTCACAAGTCACTTCTAAAGTTCTAATATGTCACATTTGCCTTTAGATATAGTGCATGTAGATCTACAATAAAAGAGATAAAAGTTATAGAAAATATAAAAGAAAAGTAAGATTCATCTAATCTATTTTAAATAAATTTCGTCAGCAAAAATAAATAAAACTGTATACAACAACAAATGTTTAAATAGACGAAACCATAGAATCAAATATACGAAACCATGGCTTTTTTTTTTATTTTTTATTATTATTATTAACCAAAACCATGGCTTTTGATAGTTGCGAAATAGATAGATAAATACTCTTGAATGTGTATCATTTGTAACATCATGGTTGAACTTGTGGTGAACTAATAATAAATAATAAATTAATTATAATATATGTATACACAAACTTCTTTCTTTAATAATAAAAATAAATAATAATTAATTAAATTATCTTTAAAAACAAAAAAAAAAAAATCAACTTAGATCCCCCTAGTGTGGTATCAGAATCTGTGTTGTATGAGATGCTGTGCTTGTGTATATCCATAGAGAGAGAGTGACCTATTTGGTGAGAGGAGATAGAATGCTAGCTGAGTCCCATCAAGTCGTCCTTCTTCGAATTAGGGCTTGATTGCTGCTACTAACTTCTGCCACTAAGTTGCCCACTCAACATGCGCAGACCCAACACATGGCTTAAACACATGAGCTCAAAACCCTAATATGCACCAATGATCTGAATTTCAGAAATCAAGGTAAAATCTTAAACCCCCAAATTTCGTATTCACATTTTATCTGACACTCCTGTTATCAATCAACATTTGATCAGATTCGTCAATGTGATTGTTGGTTAAAACAATATTTTGATTTATAAAATTATAAATACGCACGCTTACACGTGTGTGTTTGTGTACATTCTTCAGGTAGTGATCAAAGATGAGCCAACCATCGGTGATCCTTGCAACGGCTAGCTATGATCATACAATCCGATTTTGGGAGGCCAAAAGTGGGAGATGCTATCGAACTATTCAGTACCCAGAATCTGTTAGTAAATCAATCTTTTGTTTTCATGTTCTTTTATATCGTTGTCAACACAATTTTAAAAATATATATGTGTCTATGTATGTGTATATGTATTGTGGATGAAGGAGAAAATAGCTGCTTTGTGGTGGTTATCAACTCGTATAATCTCAGTTTGACATTCCTTAGTTTTGGCATATATAATTGTTAATGAAAATCACTATGTGAAAAATGCTATAGTAGCAAAAGAAGAAGAAGGAAAAAGAAAAAAGAAAACCAAGTGCTAAGAACTCATAGAAATTGAGAAGTTTTGAAATTCGTGGGATGGTTGTTGTCATTTTACTTTGAAATGAAAGGTCAAAATGATGCGCACTCGAGTCTGTTTAAGTTTGTTAATTGTTTATTTGTTAGTCTGGATATATATGTATAGATCAAGGTTGTTAAAATCGGGATTCTACGTAGAATCGTTTTGGGTTCCGTAGAATCGAATCGTGAATCGTAAAATTCTACCAAATTGTGAAAAAATAATTGAAACTAACTTCCTAAACAATAAGATATGTAAAATATAACAATAAGGCCAAAACACACCATATTACATATCCATGACTTCAAATCTCAAATCCTAGTAATATTCTAAAGTCCGAATATAAATAAAAGTAAAAGAAAATATTCCAAAGTTTGAATATAAATAAAAGAGGATGTAACACAAAATAACATAGTCCACAAATCTCAAATCCTAACTCATCCCTCTCCAAAATTAGAAACTAAAATTACATGTCCATAAAGTCATCATTGAACCCTTCAACCAGATAAGAACCAGGGAGAGATCTACCATTCCTCCATGATACAGTATCAAAGTAAATCTGAGAGAGAGAGGAAATGGACTTTTGGAATTCCAAGTATGAAAGACAAACGGAGCAACAGTAAACAGAGCATGAACTGCAGATAAAGATAAAACATAACACGAACAAACTTACTGAACCAGAAAATGAGAGAGAGCGAGATGCCATCAAAGAAATTCTTGCAGTAAAAAATATTACCATGCCAACTGCTACACCATATCTTATGGACAACATATTAAAACATAGCAAACTCGTCTTCATTTATATGGATTCAACTGATAAGAGTACATCTACCAGAACTTAAAGATGATGTTCATACTCCAAGTATTGCATAAATTTCAATAGAAGTGGTCACAGCAGTTCAGCTAGAGCTCAATTAGTCATAGTAAAAGCTCTAAAAAATAGTGATAAAAATTTAAATGGCCAGGTAAACTTAAAACAAAAACTACAGAAATCGGAAAAGATAAAATTAAAAGTAAAATTAAACCATTAATGCAAAAGATTATCAGAACATGATGAATAATTTCTAAGAACAAGTAGATAAAAGGTTAGAATAACAAGGAATAATCAAGGTTAGAACAATCCTAGAATAATCAAGCTACGAAGGGTTATAGAGATTAGAGAAAACTCTTGAAATTTCTTGATCAAGGAAGAAAATAAATATAGAACATACCTGGCCGAACCTGTAAGCTGCTGTATGGATCCGATGATTCCGATCTGCTCGCTATGAGCCTCTGCACTGCCGCCTCCTCTCAGTCCTCACTCCTCTCTGAGATAGGGTTCCCGTTTCTATTTTCTAATTCTATAATAGAGTAGGTTTTGTATTTTATGATTTATAGAATAAATAATTAAATATATAATTTGGTAAATTAAAATAACTTTCTATACAAAATTTGGGCCAGGCTTTGGCCCAAACAACTAAAAGAATAAGGCCCAAAGACAAAATAGTATAAAGGCCCGCCCAAACACACATTTTGGTAGAATCGGTAGAATCGTGTAGAATCGTACGCTTCTACGATTCTACTAACGATTCTACCGATTCTACCCCCGATTCTACCGATTGGGCGATTCTGATCCGATTTGAGTCGATTTTAAGAGCTGAGTCGTAGAATCGCACGATTCTACGACTCAGAATTGCACGATTCTACGATTCAGAATCGCGATTTTAACAACCATGGTATAGATACATACATTGGAAATTTTTTAACCAAGGTTGCAGGATCATATGTCAGACAAATGGGGCGGGTTTTTAAGATCAGGTAAAGAATTGTGTGATTTTACAATAAAAGGGAAAACTATATATAATGATATTTTTGCATCTTGAGAATTTCTTAAAAACAAGCCATGAACGAAAGTAAAACTCTGAAAAATGTCATGGAAAAATGTTTAAGTTTGACTATATTTTCTTACCATTCTACATTATATCAAATTAAAAATAGATTGCAGAAGCATAAGCTCAAATAAATAAATATATATATATATATATATATACTTATCAAATATATATATATATATATATATATATATATATATATAGGAGCATTGGCATGATATATTTGGTCAGGAGCAAGAATATAGTAATTTGTGAATGCTATGGATTTAACTAGACACAACGAGTATCAAACTCTAAAAAAGGGTATGGAAAAATTAAACTTCCAAAAGCTCCCCCTGACGATTTTGGACCATAAGAAAAATGTTTGATTTACGTAAGACTTGCGACGAACCACTCCACTACATGGTATCATATTGCCCGCTTTGGATCCGAACCCGCACGATTTTGTTCTTGAGTTTTACCCCAAAAGTCGTACCAATTGGGAGATAGCACCACCACATATAAGTACTTCACATTTTCCTTACCCAGGCGATGTGGGATTATGCACCTGTAACTCGCCCAGTGGGGTAGCCTGCTAGTGTCTTGCACCCGCCCATAAGATCGCCACAATCACCCCCCCTTGGGCCCAACGTTCCCGTTGGCCACACTGCTGGCTAAGTCAAACTTTGATACCATTTTAACGAACCACTCCACCTCATGGTATGATATTGTCTGTTTTGGGCCTGAGCCCGCGCGATTTTGTTCTTAGGTTTTACCTCAAAATGTCTCGTACCAATTGGATATAGCACCACCACATATAAGTACTTCACATTTCTCTTACCCATGCGATGTGGGATTGTGCACCTGTAGCTCAGTGTGGAAGCCTGTCAGTGCCTCGCACCCGCCCACAAGGTCACCACACTCATTATGGATAAAATTCAAATGAAAAAGTTCATGAATCATCTTTTAATCTTTTATCAATGATCATACGTTACAAGAAATTATTCAACACATGAAAAAGTTTCTTTTGTTAAAACATCTTAGCCACGCTTTGTAACATACTAGTATATAATGTAGGTGAAAAAAAGGAGAAGTTATCACTAAGACTTGCATGGATAAGGGATTGATTTGTTTGAAGCAAAACTTACATGACCTCCTTTGGCAAGAGAGCCTCATGCATTGGGTTTTCCTTTTTAGATCAAAGTTGATGACTTGAAGAGAGTAACTAACCAAAAGAAGGAAGGAAACAACATCAAACAAGGAAATGATTTTAACATATATGTCTTAGTCAGAATATTTAGTGGGTCTCGATCTTTGTTTTATAGTTTCACTTGGGCTCAGCCCCAACTTATCAAAAGCCACATAAGCATTTATGTTATGAGGCTCTACAATAGAATTTATAGACTCACAATTCCTGGATCTTCTAGAAAATTCACTGGGATTCTGCCCTGCTGGATTCAGATTGATTCAGTTCTTTTTGGACTATAAGATCTGAGACTCATAAAACTAAGATTGGGATTTTAATAGCCATGGATATGACATATACTTAAATTCATAGTCATTTACTATTTTCCAATAAATGTTTGTTTGATTTTCCAATTGCAGTTGAAGCCTGAGTGTTGGATATGCTATATTTTAAACTAACTATAAGAGTGTTATGGAAACCCCTTAATAAAAAAGCAAAATGAGGAAAAGAAAGGAAAGGAAAGAAGTTATACAAAATATTAACTTTCTATAAAGGATCATTAATACAAAATATTAACTTTCTATAAAGGATCATTACTTTACATTGCTTTTAATTTGAAACCTTTTTCCTTGAAGCTCCAAATTGGTTAAATGTGGGAGGAAAAAAAATCATAATGTTTATTTCTTGGATTTCTTCTTAGTTGTGACCCATACAATTTAATACCTCCTGAGAACCTACTGTGACACTATGGTTTTGTAAGTGGGCTTATCTACAGCAGTTCAATTGAGCTGACTGCATGACCATTTCCGCCATTGTTACCCTGCCATTCAGCTGCTCACACAACAATTATTGTAATATCAGTGCCAACACCACCACCAAACCTGCTCCTACTGCTACTACCTGATTTATAAAGTCTATTTCCCTCAAGAAAAAAAAAAATTTAATAAAAATAATTGATGAAATTTGCTCAAACTTTTTTCGTGTGCCTGACGCACTTGTTTTCATAACATATACCTCAAAATCTTGTACTGAAACACTAAATGTTAAATCCTTTTCCTGCAAATCCTTTTCCTAACTACTTGGGTTGGTTATGAGTAGTTTTTCTCGCCATTCTTCTCTATTTAAGGATATATTGATAGGATCAATTACGCAAACATAAGGCTCTAAGCCACGATACAAGCAGAGTTGTTCTAAATATTAAATACACTAATCATAATTACTTATGATTATATCCCATTTCATGTTTAGCATCTGTATTTCAGTGTCATGGAGAAGTATTTTTTCTTGAAACTTAGTTGTCGAGTCAATTCCAGAATTTTTAGTTTGGTAACTTTTTGTGAGTTCCGGGGATTTCATTAAGCAGAGACACAAAAGTTTCTAAGTTCTAACTATATTTCTGTTTAAGAGTAATATAAATTGATGAATCATATGAGGTTTTCAGTTTGTCTTTGTTGAATCTGATTCACCATTTTATGCTTACAGCAAGTTAATCGGCTTGAAATAACCCCAGACAAAGGGTACCTGGCTGCTGCGGGAAATCCTCACATTCGATTATTTGATGTTAATTCAAACAGCCCTCAGCCTGTATATCACTACCACCTTCTTGTTTTGTATTACATTTTTTCAATTTTTAAACATTTATGGGTATTATATTCAATCTTCCATCAGCTGATTAAAATCTTATCTTTATCCCTATGGCAGGTTATGAGCTACGATTCACATACTAACAATGTTATGGCAGTGGGGTTTCAGTGTGATGGAAATTGGATGTATTCAGGTTCTGAAGATGGCACAATAAAGATTTGGGATTTGAGGTATATTAAAGATCACATGCAAATCTATGGTCGTGTTTTGTTTTATTTTTATGCCCTTAGTGGATGTAAATTTAGATCTATCTTTTTGAATGAGATTAGGGCTCCAGGTTGTCAGAGGGAATATGAAAGCCGTGCAGCTGTTAACACGGTTGTCTTACACCCAAATCAGGTTAGGCTATATATATATATTTAATGCATGTATCTTCCTTCTAAAATTGTAGAAAGAGTTTTTTGATTACCAGAAAGGCGTCAGAAAATAAATGAAAACTTGAAATCTTATCATTAAATAACTTAAAATTGGACTGGTTTTTGGAAGTTCTCAAGGTTCTTTTATTTTCTGAGGGCTAAATTGGAATTTCATTTGCAATTAAAATTCATACTGAATTAATAAGCTTCTTGTATTTGGTTCGTGCCAACTTGTGTTCTTGTATATTTAAACTGGGATTTGTATATCTTGGTACAGTTCAGAACTGTTTTAGGTAAATATGGAAAAGTGTACCAACCAAAAAATATATATGGAAAAAGTGTGTGGGTTAACATGTTCTCTGAGTGGTTGGAAGAAAACGAAATGGCACTGATGTGATTCAATTTTGAAGCAGCTGTCACTATTTGTGCTTTCTCTAGCAGTCAGTATCTTCATGGAACTGCTTTTTGGAAGCAAATTGTGCCTGTTTTTGTCGATCAGTGCCCATATTCAAGTAAACTGGCTGAGTGAAATGTTCTGGTTAATCATGCAATGACCAAATTTATTATCTGAATTTGAAGTTCTTGAGCTTTGACAAATGCTAACAAATGCCTTGTAGGCCTATTGCAATGGGATTTTATTTTTGGTAAATTACACTCACCTATACCTTACCTCCCCTATTGATTAAAAAATTACATTGACCTCCCTCGGGCTTAGTAATTTTTAACATATTCTTCCCCCATGTTAACGGTCCACAGAGTTAAAGGATGGATTCTGCTTATGTCAGTAAAATTAAATTACAAAATACCAGATTTGTTCTTGTCTTTTCACTTTTACTCCAACAATTTTCAACTAAAATAATATCCTAACCGTTAAGGGCAAAAAAATTAAAATCACAATTCCTCTTAACATCGTCCAACAGTAATGTCTGACAGGAGAGGCTCTGTAATTTCTTAATCAACGGGGTGGCCAGGGGAGGTAGTGTGATTTAGCCTTTTTCATGTGAAATTTTCTTTCACTGTTTGTTCAATACACCTAAATTTCATACCATGCTGCTTTAGGTTGTTGGTAAATGCATTTTTATCACTGTACGTTTTTGGTTTTGCAGAGCGAATTGATATCTGGGGACCAAAATGGCAATATTCGTGTGTGGGATTTGACAGCAAATTCATGCAGCTGTGAGTTGGTATGTACTGAGATTCTGCATTCTTACAGAGTTATCATTTCCATTTTAAGTATTTTTGTGAGTGGTTTTCACTAGTTAACTTACATGCTTGGTTATAGTGGAAGACTTTGTTGCAATTTGAAAATTTTGTAAAAGTGACCATGCATTGAATTGGTGTCATTCAATCAATGGGTGTAAAGCACAGGCTTCTTGAATGAATTGTGTGCATTGAAAAGCTCTGGCTTCCTATTTGCTGTTCCATTTATGGACTCTCTCTCTCTAAGAAAGAAAAAATTAGATGTGTCATCTTTGTCTTGACCATGGCGTAAACCCAGGTGCCTGAAGTAGATACAGCTGTAAGGTCTTTAACAGTAATGTGGGATGGGAGCTTGGTTGTCGCCGCAAACAACCGCGGAACATGTTATGTTTGGCGCTTGTTGCGAGGAAACCAGGTAATTATGTCATGGACATTGATTTTTATGTTATTTTAACTTTGCAACTGAGTTAATAAAATGTCATTGAAACCTAATATGTGTTCTCTTGCAGACTATGACCAATTTTGAGCCACTTCATAAGCTACAGGCACATGATGGATACATCCTTAAATGTCTACTTTCACCCGAGTTCTGTGACCCCCGCCGGTTAGATTTCCATAGAATTACTTAATTCTCTAAAAAAAATTCAGCATCAAATTTTATTTTGTTTTTTTCAATGTAAACTTCCATCATTCGCCAGTACTCTTTAGTATATTAAGACGTTTTGAAATATTTCTTTCAAATTTGTGTTTTCTAGATATCTGGCCACCGCATCTTCTGACCAAACTGTCAAGATATGGAATGTAGATGGTTTCACCTTAGAGAAAACTCTAATAGGTACGTATAATAACTTCATTTGAAAGGTAATTTTGTTTTGCTTACTTTCGGAAAACAGATGTTCATCATCAAGCTATTTGTAATATCAATCTTATTGGTGTATTTCCAGGACATCAACGCTGGGTTTGGGACTGTGTTTTCTCTGTAGATGGTGCCTATCTCATCACAGGTATATATTGTTGGCTTTTGCTCTGATACCACTTTCTGACTTTACTCTAATACCACTTTGTTGGAAATAGTGGCGTAGATACACATACAACACTATAATATTTGGAAGAGAATGATATGGAGGAATACTTGGAAAATTATTTTTATTCCACTTCTAATTCATATTCTAAAATGACTAAAGTACATGATTATATAGGCCTCACATATGTATGCATAACCATGACATTGAAAGGCCTAATTACATCTATTATTCCCACTAACATAACCATTAGTAGCATAACTCCCACTAACATAATATTTAGGAGACTTAATTCCCATACCTCTTAGTCTTACATAACCTTCTCCATCAAGACCATTTACTACCCCACTAACATGAAATGCACACATGCATCATGTATACCAAATACTTGAAAATATAATTACAACTAAAATTCTAAAATCAAGTTTATTTTCAACACCCCCCTTTAAACTTGATTTTGTAACTTGAAAGTAAACTTCTTATTGATCTTGGGGGCTCGATCAAAAGTTTGTTACTTTGTCTTGATTTCCACCTCCTTCAATTGCAACAATCTTCTTGGCCATTTCCATTGATGTGTATGGCTTGTGAAAAATCTTCAAATGCTTGTTTGATGTCTTTACATAATCATATATCATCCTCTTTATATAAACGCACCATCTATCTTTTTTCTTCTTGAATCTTTTATGACTCTTCAACTTCACATATGTTTCTTCTTTAGAGTCAAAAAATAACTCCATATTCACCCAACCTGTGTCAATTACAAAACTCTCCAAACCATTTTTCAAAAAATAATTTGAGAAATTATTATCATCTTGAGCTTCAATCTCATACTTCGTTAGAATAACTTTCTCCAAAAGTTCATCATTCTCCACAATATGAACACAATTATCATAATATTTGATTTTGCTTTCCAATTGAGATGAATATGAAAAAATCAAAATTTTATCAAATAAGTTATATCTAACTTCTTTGAAATTGGAATTTGGAACCATACCTGAAACTGTTAACTCACCAATTTCATTAACTTTTGCCTCTTCTTTAGCACTTTCTTCTTCTTTAATTTCTCTTTTCACTTCAATCTCATCCACTTTTTCAATCTCTTCTTTAACACCTTTCTTTATCTCTTCCTTATTCTCTATTTCACTCTGGCCTTTAACTTTTGAATCTTCAATTTCTTCAACTTCATTTGTGTTGTACGCCTCTTCATTTTCCACAAATTTCTCCTCAAGACTTTCATAATCAGCCTTCGTAAACTCATCATCCTCAATGCATTGTACCCAGTACTCCATGGGTCGTGATTCACTTCTATGATTGGAAACGATGGTCTCGATCATCTTCCAAACACAACTTGGAGTTTTGGACTCTCCAAAATATCCCTAAATTTCTTGATGTATTACTTTCTGCAACACTACCAATGCCTTTTCTTCTTTCTTTTCTCGAAACTTGTTAGACATGTCATTCTTTGGCTCTAATCCAACAACATCCCACAAATCACATGCTTTGAGGTATGAAGTCATGATGATTCTCATTCTCCTGTAATTAGAGAACATCATCTTCTCACTAAGAAAATACATTTTCTCCCCTTCATCATCATCAAGGAGAAACATGTTTTTCTCAAATGTTGAACCTTTTAGGATCAACTTCGTCAGGCCTTCAGGATCGTCTAGGCTCTGAATATGAAATCTGGCTCTGATATGTTGAAACCTAGCTCTGATACCACTTTGTTGGCTTTTGCTCTGATACCACTTTCTGACTTTACTCTTATGCCACTTTGTTGGAAATAGTGGCGTAGATACACACACAACACTATAATATTTGGAAGAGAATGATATGGAGGAATACTTGGAAAATTATTTTTATTCCACCTCCAATTCATATTCTAAAATGACTAAAGTACATGATTATATAGGCCTCACATATGTATGCATAATCATGACATTTAAAGGCCTAATTACATCCATTATTCCCACTAACATAACCATTAGTAGCATAACTCCCACTAACATAGTATTTATGAGACTTAATTCCCATACCTTTTAGTCTTACATAACCTTCTCCATCAAAACCATTTACTACCCCACTAACATGAAATGCACACATGCATCATGTATACCAAATACTTGAAAATACTAATTACAACTAAAATTCTAAAATCAAGTTTATTTTCAACATATATGACTATAGAATTATAGGAAAAGTTGAAATGGTAATTTTCACCATAATAAGCACCTTGTTCATTATAGCCTGGTAATACAAAATCATGATATATTTATTGGGTCCAGGCTACAACGCAACTTTAAAAAGTTTCTCGTTTTATTCCATCCACCCACTCGATTTATGTTCTGTTTTCCTCTTTATTAAGGGTTGTAGTTTAGTCGTAATTATGTTATTATGTGTTTTTTACTAGTCAGAAAGAAAATAAATAAATACACACACACACACACATGCACATTTCGTACCTAATACATCTCAGTGATTAATCTCGGTGGTTGAATATTAGGATGATGTCATATCTTCTGACCATCTAATCGCATTTCTGGACAGATCATGAAAGTACTCATTGTAATTTGATGCTCTATACCATCTGATTTCACCATGTTTCTACATGCTTTAGAAAAAGTGTGCTGATATATTGAAAAAATCAGGTGGTTCGAAGTTCTGGATAACTTGAATCTTTTTCTTTTTAATTTATGAAATGCGGCTTACGTTAGGTTGAAGACATGCCTTACTTTTACTTTTCAAAAAAAAAAAAGACATGCCTTGCTTCTAGTCACCGCACTCAAGAACTACTTCAGATTTGAAGCTCAGTTTTAATTTGTCTCGTACTGAAAACTTCCCCATCTACTGCATGTTATGTATCTGCAACTTTTTATCTGTGTAGCTTCATCTGATACAACAGCAAGACTTTGGTCCATGTCAACTGGCAAAGATATTAGAGTATATCAAGGGCATCATAAAGCAACAATTTGCTGTGCTCTCCATGACGGAGCTGAACCCTCTCAATGCTGAACCCGGAATTAGGCTTTTCTTTTGTCTGAGTTGAGTTGTCTCTGATACTAACAAAATGTTTGGTAGAGTTGCTGAAATTGTACAACTTTTATGGTTCTTAGCCGTTTAAGAGTGCTGCTTGGGGTTCCCAATCTTTAGCTTTTTGGATGCTTGGCCAAGCATCAGATTTTCAGTGTATATATGCTTACATTTAAATAGCTTCACAGAGAAACAGATTTTGAGAATAGGCGGTTCTCATATATTTTTTCTTTTTGCAAATTATATTGCATCAGCAAAGTGAACTGCGCAAGAAACCCTAAGAGCTCTTCTCCCAGCCCTAGCTTCTTGGATTTATGACGGTCAAGAATAAATCTCCATAAAACCTTCTAGTGGCGAGGAGAAACTGTTCCTCCCTTGATCTGTTTGAGATGGTAACAACAAATATGTGTTGTTAAGTTGCGAGTAGTGTTGAGATTTTTATTTAGGATAATCACACCTATGGATTATTTAATAGACATGTCAACAAAATTGAATAGGCCATAAACTAAAGCAGCTGAAAAGGAAAGGAGGAAGAAATGTGGCTAGATTTTTATTTTATTTTTTTCGGTTGAACTTATCTTCATCATAAGCTCCTGAAAGTGGTATTAATCTGACCTTGTTAAATAACACAAGAAACGCATCAGTATCAAATTAATTAATTATACTTCTTTTACCAAGTCAATAAATCCTGGAATCCAAATTTTCTTCAGGTATATCAAGATCAAGCATAGGTCCTGGAATCTTCATTTCTTCTTCCCGTATATTATCCGAGAATTTCGACACGAGTCTCGCATCCAACATATGATCATCAAGATCACCCCGGAATCTCTTTTTGAAGGACTTGATTTTTCTTTTCCATTCGTCTTTATTTTTAACCTGACACGATACGGTTTCCATATTTTGCTAGTCGGAAAGAAGTTTTCTTTAGGTATATCATCAGGTACAAAAATTTACAACTCAGGGCAGTTGAACATGAAAATTTTGCAAAATAAAAATAAATAACATAATTGATCAACAAGTGATAAATTGATATTGCATACAATCTGTCAATTGGTACAAAAATTTACAACTGGAAATTTTTTCCTATTCAATAAAACAAGGGTAAGCAAGACGAATGCAAGTAGTTTACAAAATGAAAACTATAGATGAAGAGGCCAATACCATGAAAGATTTGCAAAACAAGAATGTCATCTACTGCTGCTTATCTTGTCCCATTCCTGAAGGTTCTACCCCTTCCTTGGGCTTTGCTGGGGCAACTTTAGCAGGGGTCGAGTGTTCTGATTGAGAAAATTGAATCAATATTTGCATAAGTACCGTAACAATGGCCAAGCCAATTGCTGAGAATGTGAGACCCTTCCATGAAGATAGAAGCGAAAACCATTGGAAGAGTTTTAAAGCTCCAAAAATAAGTAGGCAAAGCCAAGAGATAACGACCTGTATTGCAAATAAGTCGGCATTTTGTTCAAGAGTTGGCAATCCCAAAAAAGTGGGGTGGGGGAAGGAGGGGCAAAAGTTTTTGCTGGTATGGCTAATTTAAGAGAACAAAAGACCCTACCAAAAAAGACTTTACTGGCCGGCCGGTGTCTTGCAATTCTTGGTTGCTGAAGGTGTCCTCGGCTATATGCTTGTCCAATAATTTATCCTGGTAGAGAACCATTATGTTGAATGCAACCAGATAAATTATTCATACTTTAGAAATCAAGAATCTAAAACAGTGTAAAGTTCATAATGTATGCATATACTTGTGTGTATATCTTCTAGCTCAAAATACCATTCTAACCAAATGAAGGCAAAAGAACACAACAGAGTTGAATGCTGAGCATTCAGCTAACTATATACAAGTTAATGACAAGAAAGAAAAATGTGCACCTTGGCCAAAAATACATCCCTACACCATTGTGCAACAGTATCATCTGTTTCAGGCAAATCCTTCATCAAATGCCGCTTGAGGTGCACATGCACCTGCAAAACAAGTATATCATTAACACATCCAAATGCTATTCACTTCCACCAGACAAAATCCGATACTACATGAAGGGGGAAAAAAGTCATTACTCGGTGTGGTTCCCGCCACACCAGTCTTTGAAGGTTTTAGGAGCGGTGGACTAGATACAAACCTAACCTTTGGAATTATTACTTACCAAAAAAAAAAAAAAAAGCCCAAATATTTTACCAGTGCACTAAGCAACAACCCAAAAGAAATATCTAGAAAACAGATAGGAAACCCCAGACTCTGAAGTAGCAGCTATGCGCACATTTATTTATTATTCTTGTGATAGGTAGCTTGTGCCATGTTTTATGCATGAGAACTCATCTAATTTTCTGTTATTTTCAACGACAAACTACGTAATTGCGTCACATAATAACCTTGATGATTTGAAGACAAGAAACAAGCACAAAGATAACTGCAAATCACTTTTAAGTGATATCATACATGCAAACTACTTGTCAACCATTTAGAGTTCAGGTTCTATAAGCTTACCACAGATGACTGCCCCTTGAAGAGTCTTAGCATTGTAGGTGCAGGTGAACTTTTAGGAATAACAACTGTTACATCATAAATGGCTGGAACAAAGGAGCGCATATGACTCACTGCAGAAACAAAACCCTGAAAGCAACATATTAATTTAATAAGATTCTTCAGGCCAAAACCAAGTCGTATGTGTAAATTTGGAGCACAAATGTTGGTTAGTAATGCAATGCCAGAACTGCACAATTCAACTAACAGTACTATCCATCTTACAATATAAAGGAATGTGGGCTGTAAATAGCAGCAGTCCCATCTTAATACAAACACTGTCAGTAATTCAATCTAATCCAAAAGAGAAAGACATGCAGTGCAAGAACTACGCAAGTTACAATTGACAACAGAATGGAGGAGCAGCTGTCGAGTAACAGCATTCCCATCTACATCTTTTAGTTTGCATCCTAGATGACCAAGATGAGCAGCTTATACACAAGCGACTTATTGAACTTGATTATAAATCCAAATCAAACACAATATAGAAGGAACAACATCCCAACTACCAATATTGGCCACGATACTCTTGTCAAACTTCATGTAATGGAAACTGGCCTCAAGAAACCCAACAGAATTTCTGAAATACCAATCACCATGACATCACCACCAAAACTCATTTAGTCATATACTGCTCTTTCACCCTAAAATCATTAAGTTCAAATGACAGTAAAAATTATAGAAATCTAATGTTAACCTTCAAAGTACTGATAGGACTAATTCAAGTTGTCTAAACTGGAACAATGTCGTGCTTTCTGAAATATCAGTTTTTCTGGCAAGAAGTTCTAGCGAGAAAAATAGTTCATATACAGAAGAGAAGAAAAAACGAAAGAACACCCATTCAGGGGGAGAGAGAGAGAGAAGAAAAGATAAAGAAAGAAATCCAAGTGTAATCCATAAAATAAATCTCGGAAGGTTAGAGTCTTCAAGTCTAGCAACAAACTAAAATCAGTGCAAATATCACAAGTTCACATACTTCCATTCGGTAATTCAAAATAAAAAATGATGCTTCTTAGACCATAATGTGGTAATAAAGTTGTTCATAATTCAAAGGCAACAAAAGGAAATTATGGGCAAATAATAATCAAATTCTATTCCAGTAGAATCTGAAATAGAATTCTAACCTTAGTACGAGGAATCAAAACATTCCTAGGAACAGGCAACCCCGTGGAAGTAGCATACTCTTGAGCTGCTAAAAGCTTTGCCTGTGTAAAGCGCGTTCCCTCTACAAAAAGTGCCAACCAAAAGGGACGAGGGAAATCGCTAAGCCTTTGAATACCTAACTGCAGATACAATCCCATAAATTTCAAATAAGATTGATTAGGGAACCAAAACTGTTACGGAAAACACAGTGAACCAAGCAACAATTACGAAACTAGACAGAAAAATAAACACACCAGACAGATTTATATGTGGTTTGACAAAGCCTACGTCCACGGTAGAGATCCGGCGAAAGTCTTCACTATGTGTAAAATCAGATATTACAAGTTTTTCAGCCCCTCACTCTTAATTCTGTACGAATTTCTTGTCTCCCACAACCAACTCCAAACCCTAAACGCCCTTATATATTGGTCTACAAGAGAGTACTCATTAGGGTCTACGACCCATGAGCAAAAACGGGTCAATTTTTTTCCTCGGGGCCAAGCCCCCGAACCCCCAAACTTTGGTGGGCTTGGGCCCACACAAAGCTCAACAAACGGGTCGTCAGGTCTCAACGCGACCCGACACCAAATTCGTGCCACAACATCACAAAAACCAACCATCTAAACAAGCAAAACACAAGAGACAAATAACTAGGGAATTAGAGATAGTGAGATGTATGTATACTAGCACGCATTAACATAAATTTCACAAATGTAAAACAAACACATACTTTTAATGTGCTTTCATCCTTGGCCCAGCTTCTTTCAAGAAAGAGATACTCAGAAAACCACATCGACCAACCTATAACCTGCATATATTGGGCAAAGAGTCAAAAGACTTAACGTTTCCATATGTATATTTGAAGGTTCAAGTGCTCAAAAAGTGATAAGCAGGAAGAAAAGAGTACAATGAGAAGATATATGAATTACGAAAACAACTTGCGCAAAATCAAATACTCAAATGTTCCAAAAATAAGACCAATATAACACAAAGTTGAAATTATTAGTGCCAATGAGAACCCCCGGCTGGCCCTCTCTCCCTCAATCACCGTTAATTTATTTTATCAAAATTTTGGAGTCAATCTCCCTCCCTTATGGTATCCAATAACTAGAAATAACCAAGTTCCATGACACTCATCACTATTCCAAATTCACAAATTGACAATACAGAAAATAGAAAATTGGAACTCCATTGAGAACTATATGGCTACAGTCCAAATATAATTATTTAAATTCAAAGAATCCACTTCACATGACATTAACAGAACTTGTCAAGTTAGAAACTTAGAATTCTTACCGGAAGAAATTTTGATGTTTTCTTCATTACAGCTAATGTGCTACCGAGGCAACCTGATCGCTGTTATAAGAAAATTGCTAATCAATAAGCAGAGCACATAACGGGAGAGAGAAAAAAAAAAAAAAAAAAAAGAACACCTGAGCACTGTTATGCATATGTGCTAATGTAAACAAGTCTCTCTCTTGTGCATGTGTATACGTGTAACAAAATCAGAAGTAGAATAAGCACCTGAGCCAAAACCCATCCGACAAGCCAATCAATGTCACTTCTGTGATTAGACACGACAAGTGCGTGTTCTTTTCCTGGAAATTTTACCACAATAAGCCAATACAATAAGCTGCAGAAGACTGTTTACCCTCTCATATTCAATGGAAACCTAATCACTCAACCAAAAAAAATTTTGGCCTTACCCATCAGTTGAAAGGTTTCTGAATCTGTGTACAGCTTAATCTGTAACCAGAAATATTCCAATAATCAATGTCAGAACTTGCATACCACACATTCAATCATAAAATCCCATATCATAAGTAATGTCTCTCTCGCTATACTATAAGTTTTAGTATAGTATCTTTTCTTTTCGTGTTTGTGTACTAATTTATTCCTTTTAATTAAGTGTCCCTACTCATGCTTACAGAAACAAGGGGAAAGAAACGAAAAGAAGTCTAGATGCTCACTAGAACAACTTTCTCTTTGGTCCTTAGTTTAATACTCCCATATTTGACCCACATACAGGTCAACCTTGCTAGCTCGGAAGTGAATTTTACAAATGAAAACATTAAGGTTAACGGTCTTACTAAGTGTGTGTAACAAGAGGACAAAGATAGAATAGAAAAAGAAAATGAAAAACAGATGCAATGATAGAGAAACGAAAAAGAATTTGAGCAAGTGCAAGAGAAATAGATAAGAAATGGAGCATTAGAAAATGAGAGCTCCTAATAAAACAGATCACACATTGGTCTACCATTGAAAGAAATTACCAAATGCTGAACAATGGTAAGCGCATTCAAGCATGGATCAAAAAATTAGAATACCACGAAATTGATGAAATAAAATAATCTAAGGAGAAGTTATCACCTTAACCCCCGCCCACCAATCAATGAGCCATACGAGCTCCAGCCACAGTAACTCTGCCACCACTCTATTAATCCTTCTGTATGTATTTTTCGACCATGGTCTAACAATGACAAAGAAAATTGCCTGAAAAAGAAAGGTAGGTTTGCAATACATCAAGTTCAGCAATTCAATGTGTCTCCAAGCACAACCAAACCCAACCCCACCCCATCTCCCAAGCACATCAAAAAAAAAAAAAAAAAAAAAAATCGATATATGGGAGGGAAAGAGAGAGAGGGGTAATGTGTATTGTTAGGACCTCAAATGAACCAAAAAAAAATACACCTAGAAATTATATGCAAGTTCACCAATCATTTCTACTTGAAGAAACTACTTAACAAATGTTAGAACAACACACAACTAGAATTCTATGGACAGATAAACTACTTCAAAATTCATTCAAAAAATCCAAGAAACCCGTCGAAACCCTCACTAGAAATACCCAAAAAAAAAAAAAAAACAGATCTAATTAGCTCCATCCAATCAAATCTACACAGACAAACACATCGAATTGGAAACATTGATTACCTGAATAAGATTGATGACGAGGCCAGAGAGTAGAAAGAGAACGCCCACCGGGACGATAACAGCTGCCGCCGCAATCGCCATTGCTGAGCACCCAGGACTGGGAAGCAGTTAAATTATAGAGAGAGAATGAATGGAGGGGGATTTCTAGAGAGAGATCATATAAATACACAAAAAGAAAAAAAAAAAATTTGAGATCATCTATAAATATGAATATGTATGTATATACACAATGATCATATATATGGGGAGAGATAAATAATAATAAGTGTTAGTGATGATGATACAGATGAGAGTGTCAGGCAGGCAATAAACGGCTTTAAATGCCGTCTCCAATTTCAAGGTAGACGGAGAGAGCAGTTTCCGGCTTTGGACGGGCACAAAGGGCCGCCTTCTCACAGTCCTATCTCATCAAAACTATTTCACACCGTCCGATTCTTTCTGTCTCTAGTTCCTTTTCAATTTAAAAAATAATACTTAGAGATTAAAAAAATAAAAATAAAAATCTGATTGATTTTTAATATATTTATACTTTTAAAAAAACAAAACCCAAATTCTTATCTTACTAGTTAGTAATATCCCACATTTTATTTTTTATTATTTATTTATTTATTTATTTTAACTCCGAACTTCCCAAGACACAGCCCTTATGGGCCCTACCTTGAAGCACCAAACTGGGGATACGATAGCCTGCCCCACGGCTGCAATATCAGATAAGTCGACGAAGCTAGAGGCTTGGTAGAGGACTCGAACCCTGACATCCTGTGTGTTGTTATCATATAACATACCTTTTTTTACCATAACTACATATAACATAAAATGTTATGTTAGAAGTTTAATTGAATTGTAATTATTTAACGTGATTAATATAAATTTTATCTTTAACAGAAAAAGAATAAAAATATGTTATATATTTCTTAATAGAAAGAATCTTCCAAGAAGATATATATAATAATTTAAGTTTATATTAGAGTTTGGATTCAATAATTATAAGTTTTGTTATTTTTTTATATTAAAAAATTACTTTTAAAATACACAAAGCAGCCAAATAAACTAACAAATAAGCAGCTATTTAATTCAAGATAAAATCACAAATTAAAATTGGTGAAGTATAACATTTTCCATATATATATTGATGGATTAGGCGAAGATTTTAAAATTACAGATGCACTCTTGAGGTGGAGGTGGTAGTAGAAGAAATTATTTATGATGTATTTGCTAATGAGGTGAAGCAGGAAGTTGCCTTTTCTTCTACTTATTATTATTATTTTTCCTTAATTGTTGGGAAATGACAATTACCTGTTTTTTTTTTTTTACTTCAAGGAAAGGAGATGAAAATTTCACTCTACAAAGGTTAATGGTGTTTTCAAACTGAGAAAGGTAAATTATAATGATCTACCCTCTACTTAATTTTTAGAGAAAAAAAAAAAAAAAAAGGTTATGGGAGATAATTTTACCCTTTTGACTAATGCACATTGATTCTTAAGGGAGGCAAGCATAAGTGAAACAGTTGTTGTTATGCAATAGAAAGCTGATGTCAAGTTAATCCTTGTTCATTGTTTTGCGTGAATTTAAAGAAATTCTAGTTTGTGATTTTTTAACAAAACAATTGGACATAATTGATAAGTTTACAAACCATTTGACATTTTAAGGTGATTAATAGATGAGTTGTTTCTTCACTGCTAAAAATAAATAAATAAATGAAAATAAAAATAAAAATTAGACTTAAACGCTCTAACACTTCCATACTTGCCTTTATTGTTCACAATTTAAGTATACAAGCTTATCCATATGAGTACTATATTTACAAATATGTACGAATTTGTACGAGTTTATATTCACAAGTTTAGACGAGACGAGTCTAAAATATTGTTTAAGAATGGTTCGTTCCTGAACGAATCTAGAAAAAAAGTTCGACTTGAGTCCAAGTCCAACTTTAAACTACTTAAAACTGAGTCCAAACTTTTCATAAATTGCTGGGTTCATTTTGCAACCTAGTGACCCTAACATATTAGTACTAATCTGATTTGTTCACGAAAAACCGGTTCTTAGTTTTTTTTATAAAAAAAAACCTAAACCGGTTCTTAGTTGAAAAATGTGCTTTTATGCAAAAGATTTGGGTGCCGGCAAACGCGACCTTAATTGCTTGTGACCCGTTTCATCTCGTCCTTCAGAGGATATTCTGGCTTGTTATTGTGAAGTGACCGGGAAGATCAAAAACCTCCCCAAAGACATTCGCGCACACACAGACACATTCTCTCTCTGTGCAGTAGAAGCAACAATGGAAAAAGGAAAGAACAGCAAGAAATCTTCTGCTATATCACAGGAACAGTTCGTCTCGATCATGACTCCTTTAATCGATATGGAAAAGGTCTCTCTATGTGTGTATATGCGTATATGTTTACAGATGCACTTATGTGCATTTTTTTATTCTATATTTCAATGGATGGTTAAGATTGTAGTTTGGTAAATTTATCATCAATCAACTACGGCCTTTTCTCTACTTCTTCTGTAAATTTAGTATGGTTAGACATTCGCACTATTTTTGGTTTTTCGGCTTCTAAATTAGCCCCCAATTGTATTGAACTTTTAATTTTCAAATTTTGATTTGAATCGTGCCAAGTCAGTGTTAATCTATGTATGTCGTACATTGCCAAGAAGAGTATAGGATTGTGTGATTTTCGCTGGAATTGGTTTGTTTTTCATGATTATACTAGTACGGTATTGGAACCTTTAGCATTGTTTACACAAAGTGGCTGTTGTCAGCATTTGAACCTTTAGCTTGACAGCCCAATCATTTTACCAGCGTTCTAAGAAACAGTCCCCTATTTCTCATGAATCCAGATTACGGCTCATAAGTTGGGAAAAAGAATAGAAGACGAATAATATCTAAAAAACACACACTCAAAATTCAGTTATTTCATTGTTCATTGCTGATGTATACTGGCAATGTTGTATAATTGTCTTAGGAAGCTGAGATATCGACTTCCATGAGTTCGGGTGCAATGAGGAATTTGGATACTGCTCAAAAGAGGGGTTCCACCATTCTTAATTTGAAGTGTGTTGATGCTCAGGTAGTGCTATGTCTCTGTCACATTTTTTGCTTTACAATTCATTGGTTTTTCTTATAGTTTGAGGTCACTTTGGTTCTCAATGCAGACTGGCTTGATGGGCAAAAGTCTTCTTGAGTTTCAGTCAAATAAAGGTGATGTACTTCCTGCTCACAAGGTGAATTTATGATGTCCAACATTAACTCTTCCATTTTGATGTTTACTTTGAGTATATCATCTGCATACTGTGTGTTACAATATGTTAGCTAGTCGTGCTAAATCAATTATGTTAGTAAGGCTGCTTCTGGAGTTTCATCCTGGGTGTATGAACTATGAAGTTGATAATTCCTAGAACTTGTCCTTGATTATCTGCTTCAAGTTCTTTATCAATATATTTACTAATGTTTATATGATGGCACCGAAGGTTCAACTTTACTTTTCCTGCTCTTTGTTTTAAATTTTATTTTTCTCCCCTCTTTCTCGTGGCTCATGGATTTCCTTGCATTGCAGTTTGGGACTCATGATGTTGTTGTTCTAAAAGCAAACAAAGCTGATTTAGGGTCTCCTTCCCTTGGCCAAGGTGTGGTTTACCGTCTAAAGGTAATTATGTATTTAAAACAGAATTATGGGTAATTGCATTTATTGATGTTGTCAGTTATTGTTATTCAACATAATCTTCTTTCTTTTGTTTGTTCTCTTGGGATTCTAAGTTGGATTTCGTTTCAAGCAGGACTCCTCAATCACTGTTGCTTTTGATGATGTGCCAGAGGAGGGTTTAAATAGTCCTCTACGCCTTGAGAAACTTGCAAATGAGGTATACCTCTTTTAACATACATATTTATAATATATACACATTTTATTTATTTTTTTTTTCCTAATGGGTCTTATTGTAATTTGGTCCTCTTTGCACATTCTAAGCATTTTTTTATATGCAAATATTTTGAATGGTTTATTTTGTTAGATTATTATACAGCATCTTAATTCCTAATGTTATTTTTCGGTGTATTTCTTCAAGAGTTCAAGGAGTTCGGAAAGATCTATAAGAATTTTCTAGTTCTTGGATTTTATTGTTTGCCCAAGTCATCTTAAACATCTTTGACATTTTCTTGTACATGTATTCTTACTTACTGAAAAGTCGATAAAAGGAATTTCTAGTAAAATCTCAGTAGTCTTCTAATCGGCATGAAAAGAATGACCTATTTAGGCGTCATTCTAAATTATTGTCAAAGAAAATTAGTAAATAACTAAAGAATGTGCACATTTTCAATTGCCTTTGTAGGTGACATACCACCGGATGAAGGATACCTTGGTACAACTGAGTAAAGGCGTGCAGAAGGGACCTGCTGCCGACTTAGTTCCTGTTTTATTTGGAGAAAGGCCACCAACTGTGTCAAAGAAGGATGTTACATTCACCCCATTTAATTCCAACCTTGATCATTCTCAGGTCCTTACACCTAACCTTTTATATTTCCTATTTACAAATGCTTGTCTCTCTCTCTCTCTCTCACACACGCGCGCTATATCTCTATCCTCCCTACCTCTCCATGTTCTTGCTTTTGAAAATGTATACAATTTATTGCCACTTGTGCTTGCTTCAATTATTGTCTGTATCAAGGACCAATCATTGCCAAGTACGCACCAAGAAAGCAGTTACTCATTAGGACTTGGCTTCACAGAAAGGGCTTCCGGAAGACATCTAAACCTTCTTCTCTAGATAATAGACATTTTAACCCTAACCTTTTCAAAGTAGACCTCTAAACTTTCATATCTAGGAGGCAGAATTCTAACCCTTTACTTCTAACTTGAAGACCTCTGCATAAGCGTGAGATCTTCTATCTCCATGATATCTATGTATGATCTCAATATCTTAAGCAGACTTATTAACTATGGCAGGCCTATGAGCTTCAATGGGTCTCGATTGCAAGCTTTTTCAGCAATGCAATCCATTTTACGCAACAGTCAGCCCCTAGTTTTCTCCATATGGGTTTTGCTGCAGATAGACCCTCATATTTTTCTCCGTGTGCACAATATCTACATGGTCCCTCTATTATATCATTTGACATGAGCAATCCTTCGCAGTGGTGAATGGACCTTGTAAATGGCTAGAATAGACGGAGTCTTTCCATATCACATTGATATAGGTGACTGTTATGACAAACGCAACGAACCCAAGATAAAATCAAGAACTGAGGGTGCTCATGGATCATCCATTTGATCCAAATCAACCCCACTGTATGATTTGGTTTGGTGCTGGAGATCAATGGCTTGGTTCCAATTCCAGAAGCAGTGGAACCTTTAGGATTGTTTTGGAGGTTAAAATAAGAAAAAGAACCCGGATGTGATCCTTTTACATATACGGGGGAAAAATCGGAAATTTTGATTTTGGGGGCCGAACTATTACTATGTAATTAAAATATTCAAAAAAATTATAAGTCAATTGTAATATGATTTTTATAGTAGTAGTCTTCGTATATATGTTGAGGATGATACAGTGTGAAAAATGAGAAAAACTCAACCTAAAGATGGAAAAACTGATATGAGAAATATAAGTCAATAGAGAAGAGGGAATGATTACAGATAAAAAAAAAATAATAATAAGTGGTAAATTTGAAGCATTGTTAAAGGGTTACTTTTCTTCAGAAATTGTTTCAAAATTTTTAAAGTTTTAATTTCCGGAAAAAAAATTTGAATTGCGGTGATTCCAAATCTGGGAAAGATTCCACATTGAATTGATAAATTACTATTAGTCTTGATGAAAGATTAACAAAAAAAATGTAGCCTTTTAACTAAATAAAATCTCATTATCAAGAAACTGGGAAGTTTAGTAACTTATACGAGTAGCTGAAATGAAACAACTAAAAATATTAGCTTATATGATATTGTTTAGTAACTTGATGCCAGTTATTAGCGGAAATTCATTATTGTCCATACATGATAACTAGCACATGATCCCTGTCCCAACAGTGTTGGGCAGATTAGGTTGGTTCTGCAATGAACCAGGTCTACTTTTATCACTACGCATACACTTTTTGTGTTGTGTTAATCTAACATGACTATTGAGAATCACCTAAGATAATTAAAACAATATTTTCTTTTATTGGAACTAATCATTGTTTAGTTGCCAATATTTTTGGTTATGATATTTCTCAACCCATTATTGATGTTATGATGCTGTGATATTGTAATTTGGTCTCATCTATTATACCATTGAACCCAGAATGAATACACGTTAGGAAAAATATCCAACACGTCAAGGGAAAGGAGGTTTAACCTTAAGATCTCACAGGCTCCTACCCATTGAGGGAGACTGAACCAACCTGGTAGTTACCTGCATGGCCAAATTGACGTCTGGGCCTGATGGTCTTTGATCTGCTCTTTGACGCATTCTTTTTCAACCTTAATTCCTTGAAGCAAGCATTTCCTCTACTGCTGGGAAATAAAGTAGTTCATTCTGATCCCTTTTGTGGGAACTAAAGTCTCCATTTTATTTCTACAAAACCAAGTTTGCTTGGGTTACACTTTGGACTAAATAATGGATGTATGCATACACTCTTATATCACTTTTTGAAAATTCTGAGGGCATCATTGTGGCTTGTTTTCGGAAATAGGTTTATTTATGTTTATATATTAACAACCAGAGAAATCTGTGATTACGTGAGATTTTGGATTGAATAAAAACTAAGTTGTATTTTCAAAGAATTTCTTTCCGGATATTTTGGGTAGGATTTGGTTTCTTTCACTGGGATATTCGGCCTCTTTTAGGTTGGTCTTAGGTTCTGATCAATGGATGTGTTGTGTCTGCTATATGTTTTAAAAAGGTTATTACCGATATTAGTCCCCATAATCGGAAGGGCTGGGAGGGATGCTTGGATACAGAATTAACCTCTCGCATTGTCTATACAGTACCTGTTATATGCTTGGGGATCATCCTTGCACTTTAATAAATAAGTATGTGCATATATGATCACCTATGCATGTTGTATCCATGTATGCTAATTTTTTTATGTATGCTAAGCTCCCAAGTCAGCTTCATCTTTTACCAACTAAAGCACATTGTTTTATTTTTTAAGAAAGCTGCCATCTCCAAGGCGCTGTCATCCAAGAATGTATTTTTGCTGCATGGGCCACCTGGAACCGGAAAGACCACAACTGTGGTGGAAATAATCTTACAAGAAGTGAAACGTGGATCAAAGATTCTTGCTTGTGCTGCTTCAAATATTGCAGTCGATAACATTGTTGAGCGACTTGTCCCTCACAGGTAAAATTGTCTGCCATTAAGGGAAAAAAACTTTAGTCGGATACCTTGCAGTCTAATATCTACTGAAGTAGTACTATTTAATCAATGGATGTGTAGCTGGAGTGCCACTTTTGTGGTTTTCTTTATTTTCAACTGAATTATACAAGACTGAGTCTGACTAGTTTAGTGTTAAGACAGACTTTTTACCTTAATAGGAAATGTGATAAGATACATGTCAAGTAAAACGTGTGATTAGTTAGACTTCCGAATGTTGCAATTCACTAACTATAGAAGTATTTTACTTATCTATTTGTAAATTTAAGCAATTACGATTCATGTAATCTGAATAGCTAAAAAGAAATTTATGTAATTGAGTGTGGGAAGGTGGGATAAAGTGGAGTTCTTCATTAGCATAATATTCTCTGCATCTGTGCATTCAAACTTATGACCACTTTCTTTGTTACAAAATCCCATGTTTACTCGTAGTTTTAGTGAATTTAGTTGTCATGTGTAATTATAAAAGTAAATCATCACTCCTTTTAACTAATGAATGCCTCTAATTCCACTTCTTCTTTTAATTGGTTGTAACTTAACCAAGTTATTGTCATATTGCAGTTATCAAATCTCATTGCGATGTTTATTAGCTACAAAATTCATTTGAATAACTAAGCATTTTCAGTTACAACCAGTTTGGGAATAAGTTAAATTTCTCACCTTCTGTATCCATGTCTTTAATTAGAGTAAAGTTGGTGAGATTGGGGCATCCGGCACGATTACTGCCTCAGGTACTGGATAGTGCTCTGGATGCACAGGTAAGAAAAACCTTCATGTCTTTAGACAATTTTGGATGATGAAGCTTTCATGTATTCCGTAGTGTTTCTTCTGTACGTCATTATCTCTTATTTGATATCTCAATGTGCATGATCATATGCTTATCGGTCTTATATCTCTAGTTATTTTTGTACAAATTTGCCATGAATGCCTGTAGGAGCTACAAAGATTCATTGTCAGTATTTTTGTCCTAGTCTTTTTAATAGGAACTTAGTTTATTTCATTTATTTATGGCAGTTAGCTTTTGGATGGATTGGATACTTTTCTTATTTGATATTACCTTTTGTATTTCTTTTATCTGAATTACAGAGTTGTTTTTATACATTGAGTTGTTTCCTTATAGGTTCTACGTGGGGATAATAGTGCTCTTGCAAAAGACATTCGCAAGGAAATGAAGGTAAGAGATAGGGAAACGCTCACACTCAAGCTATAGTTCTTTATAACAATCTGCTTCCCCACTTCCCCAGATTTAATTGTGAATTACTTTTTTATAATTGATGCTTTACATTAATGTTAGTTTTTTTTTTTTTATTTCCAGTCATTATACCCTATATGACAGTTAAATTGTTTCATTTGATGCATGAGCTTTGTGTCCTGAAAGGTGAGAACCCCAGAAGCTGAGGTTGTTTTCATTTGGTTTTTGCATGTTATGCAGTTCGCTAATCTCCCTGAGTTCAGAACTCTTAAAGGGTTGCTACCACAAGCGTTCAAACTGATTTTTGCAATTCAATAAGTGACTTTGGCTTTATTGAGGCAGAAAATTTCTGAATTCTGATTGTTTCTCCTGAGTACCACCATTTGGCCCGTGGCACCGGCATGGTGCGAAGACGTGGATGCAGACACGAGCCCAAATTGGGCGTAACGTTAAGGAATCGGTTGCTGCAGTTATATATTTTTTCAACTGTACACATAAGGCCCAAAATGTACAGATACACAACTTTTTGGTACAAAATCCAATAAATATGTATTTTTAATGATTTTTAAAAAAATTTAAAGATCATTTAATACAAGTAATGCCCTCTACGTGAAATTTAAGTTGTTGTCGGTATTAAAGATTTGGTAATTTATGTTTTTTACTAAATTAATGAGTCAAAAGAGACTTAAAACTAATGAAAATTTATGACAGAAAACACATAAATATTCAAAAATCACTTGCATGTTAGAGTTAATTTCAAAAATAAACACTTGCGGACTAATTGAAAGGTTTGACCGAAGATTAGGCTATAATATGATTTTTTTAGCATGATTCACATATTTAGGATTTAGAATGAATTTAGAGGTGAGAGAGGGCTGTTAGAAAAAGAGATAATGAGAAAAATGGACAGGATTGAGCCTGCCAGCTTAAGAGGTTCGACTTGGCCGTTACAGTGCCAACTCGTTTAAGTCCCTTCAAGTCTCGGCTGAGTCTCTCCTACTCGCTCCAAGTCCAGTTGAGTCCCTTGTGATTTTCATTCACAACGATATATGGGGATGAGGCTATAAGCCTATAACGGGATCAATTATGCTGAGGTCGTCCCATAACGGTTTTTGAACCATGGTTCAAAGTGAAATTAGTAAGTGGCATGACTTCCCAAGAGCTCTATCTCAACATCTAGAATGGTCCCTTTGAACATCATTCAGAAAGCAAGTTATCACATTTTTGAAAGACTTGTGGACATATTGCTTGGAATTTTTATAACAATACATTTATTTGGGACTGTTGGTGATTATCATTTGAGACTACAAGTTGCATTGGTATTTATTTTAACCTACCTTCCAGCCTTGACATGAAACAATTTTCTTTTTTTTTCCTAGTTGCTACTCACACACACTTGTCTCTTCTGAGACTTGAACCCCTGACCTTCCTTTGGAAAGTAAGAGGCTGATACCATTAGGCCACTGGCCTGTTGGTAACATGAAACAAATTTCTCAAGGTTGCAAGAGAGTAATTTCCAACATGCTATGATCAGAAATGTTATATTTTCATCAATACTAGTTTTATCAAAACTAGTTTTGTAAGAAGTCCTTGAGATTTTTTCAATTTTCATGACCAATATTCAATTTATTTATTTTTGGCAGTTCTAACAGTTACAAAGTAAAAGAAATATGTTTTAGAAGAAGTTACTCTGACTTCTATGCTTGTGTGATTTAACAATTTTCTCATGTTAGATTCTTTTTCCAATATTTTCTGTAGGCATTAAATGGAAAACTGTTAAAAACCAAAGACAAAGCTACGAGGAGGGACATCAGGAAGGAGCTCAAGGCTCTATCAAAAGAAGAGCGTAAAAGGCAGCAGCTCGCTGTGGCAGATGTAATAAAAAATGCAGACGTGGTGTTGACAACATTGACTGGTGCATTGACCAAAAAGTTGGAGGGTACTTCATTTGATTTGGTGATTATTGATGAAGCTGCTCAGGCACTTGAGATAGCATGTTGGATAGCGCTACTGAAGGTAAAGGTGTAAGAATAGGCTTATACATGCATGGCCTCTTTTAACTCACATGCCCACAGAAATGTGAATGTCAAATGTTTTATGTCTGTAATGACCAAGAAAATTCCTCAAATGGCTAGGTTGGTCTTCGACTTTATGTACACTTCTTTTACCTGCTATTGTTAGAAAATTTGGTCTTCAAAAAATGCATTAATATATTTTTTTCCCCCCTAGTTGGTACTCACAATTGGTGTTCTTTCTGAAGTTGTCTGATTGGAGACAAATTGAAGCCAAGCAAAAATCAATTTGGAAAAAATTCCAGGGTTTTTGTAGCAAAACACTCACCTTACATGGTTACTGTAGATTTTTCCGAAATTTTAAATGTGTTTTAGGCAGGAAAAGAACACCGTAATTAATTCTAACCACTTTTAACACATAACTGTACCTTCATGCAGCGCTGAAAGATTTGAGTTCTGTGCTTTAGGGTTCAAGATGTATGCTTGCGGGGGACCACCTCCAGCTTCCTCCAACCATCCAGAGTGTTGAAGCTGAGAAGAAGGGGTTAGGTAGAACCCTCTTTGAACGCCTTGCCAACTTGTATGGAGATGAAATCACGTCTATGCTCACTGTCCAGTACCGCATGCACGAGCTTATAATGAACTGGTCATCCAAAGAGCTTTATGACAGTAAGGTGCTCAGATATGGTCCGGATGTTTGATCACAGAGTAAAATTATTTTATTGATAAAATGATGTTATTCTGAGATAATAATAATAAATAAATAAAAAGCTTTTTTATCTTGATTTTGTGTGTGATATTATCCTGTTTTATTTTAACTAGGTCAAAGCCCATCCAAGTGTTGCTGCACATATGTTGTCTGACCTTGAGGATGTAAAGAAGTCATCTTCAACAGAACAAACCCTTCTTCTCATAGACACAGCTGGGTATGCAGTTCATTTTTTCTGTTTCAAATAGTATAGGTTTCTTAGAGTAATTGCTTAGAATTTCTCCAAAAGAGGGAGTTTAGAACCACGTTGGCATGAAATCACTAGCATGTTTTATGAAATCGAATGAACAAAATTATCATATACATGAAGTCATAATGTGTGGAATTTAAATAATTTATCATATGGCAATTGAAATTTGAATTTCTAAATTTTAAAAATATTTTTCAGAAGAACTATGAAGATAGGAAGACTTTCAAATGGTACGATATTCTTTCAAATTCCATAAGAAACAAATGGAATGATCTTGTTCCCCTATGTTTTTGAAGGGTCTTTTGTTTCTGAAAAAAATTGTTTATTATTACTGCTTTAATTGGTTTGTGGCAATCTGTTCAGGTGTGACATGGAAGAAAAAAAGGACGAAGAAGATAGCACACTGAACGAGGGCGAAGCTGAAGTTGCTATAACCCATGCAAAAAGACTTGTTTATAGTGGGGTGCGAGCTTCTGATATTGGAATCATTACCCCTTATGCAGCACAGGTATAGATTTAAATGAACACTTCACTGCCAAGAATTTAGCTCAGCATATAAATATTTTATGTCTTCATACCAGTCCTTGAACCCCGACTTTGGACTCATTCAGCATCATCGTCATTACCAGGAAAGTTTGGTTTGCTCAGCAAATACTCAATTCAACTAAACCGAGCCATTCCCAATCTCAATTATTTGGGTTAACTCATCATATATAAGATTGAAAGGCCTAACAGATAATTAAATTCCAGATCTAATTCATATAGTCTTTTCTTGTGTATATTGCAACTGCTATTGTAGGTTGTCATACTGAAAATGATGAAAAGCAATGAAGACAAGCTAAAAGATTTGGAGATTTCAACGGTTGATGGATTCCAAGGTCGAGAGAAGGAAGCCATTATTATTTCAATGGTCCGATCAAACACAAAGAAAGAGGTATTCCTAGCATTTTTGGTACTATTGTCAAGTCATATTTGTTTAAGTAGTTCAAATCTCTATTGGCATCAAGATTATAGCATAGAGAAGGATGTAAGTTAGAAAATCATTGGATTTATTTTCAGGTGGGATTTTTAAGTGATCACAGGCGAATGAATGTTGCTGTGACACGAGCAAGGAGACAGTGTTGTCTTATATGTGACACTGAGACAGTGAATAGTGATGGTTTTTTGAGGCGCTTAGTTGAGTATTTTGAGGAGCATGGAGACTATTTGAGTGCTTCAGAGTATGGCAATGAATAGCCAAAAAAAGCCAAGGAAGAAGGCTCTTTTCTGTTGTCAGGGCATCACTGACCTGTTGGCTGTATGTGATGCTGGAAATGGTTACTGAGATTTTCCATACTTGTTTGGAACAGAAGAAAATTGATATTTTGTTGAAAAAAGATTCTATCATTTGCCAAAATGGACAATGGCCTTATTAATATTTCTTTTTATCTGTGAAATTGTATCTGGAAGTAGGTCATACATATTGCTCATAATTTTTACATGTTATATGAGTATGTATTATCCAAATCGTATCATTTTTGTCATCATAATGATAAAACAGCAACGGTGCACTATTTTACCTGATAATATTACCCAGGAAAAAGGTGTGGGTTGGATTGACTTCATAAATTGAGCCTTTTTCTCATTCTAGGAAAGTACCAGGGGTTATATTATGTATAACTTATACTTGGGTGAGCCAGCTACCTTTGACTATCCAAGAGCTTTACGGTGGCTTTTTTTAATTTTATTTTTTATTTTTTATCAAGGCATGGACTATGGAGGTAAAAAAAAAATGGTCGACCAAAGCAGTCATCGATAATGTGGAAGTTCTTCATCAAAAAGTTCAACATTATCCAAATGTCAGAATATAAACCAATTATAGGTGGATGGTAAGCATTATATTGGAATGTTAAAAATGTAATTTATTCTCGCTATCTCTCCACCAGCGTAATATTGTTTTTGCTCACTGTTTAGTGCTTCTATTTTGTACTTTGCAGATTTTAGTCCTCAACATTGACTGAAAGCTGCAAGAGAAGTTCATGGCTTACTGGTAAATCTAATTATCTGCTAAATTCCCTTTTTTTTTTTTGCCTTCTTGCATTATGCTTGTGATTGTTTATGTAAATTTTTTCAACCAGACAGTTGGAATTGTCTGACCAACACAAATTATTCTTCTCATCATCTAAAAGTTGCCTCACATGGACATCCCACATTAAAAGTGAATTGCTTTTTGTTGGTTTTGTAAAATGATTTTCTGCATATACCACGAGTAAATAAATAAATAACAGGTTTGCAGAAATACAAACTGACCCTGATACTCTGAATACGAACCTAATGGACTTTCTGCTCTAGTCTCTGACTGACCTGAAACATGTTCCATATGCATTTCCGCCACTTTAGCTACAATATATTCTCTCTCTCCTCTTTACTGCCACTAAAATACACTCTCCGCTGTGGTCTGACAACTGAAAATTCTTGTATGGATCTCTACTGCCAAGGGTCCTATTGATTTAGATCTATGGAACTTGCACTAGATTGGAACCAACTTGTCTGTAACCTATTTAAGTGATGGCTAGACATTCTCATTTTTTTCTGAACTTGACTGCATGTGCATATCTTACGCTTCAAAAATTAGCTGATCCTTTCAGAAGTTCCAAATAGAAGTGGGGAAACTAAGCTCCTCATGAATATCATAAACCTGGAAACTATTGGCTTCTGCTCCTTCATTGTCCTCTATTCCTTGCATCTCAATCAGCGTGTCCCAATTGAAACTTGTCTCGGGAAAGGCCACAAGTTCATCATCACCTTTCGATGAACTTTCAGGCACTGGAAAACTTTCATTGGGGTTTCTGCCATCTGAGGAACTCTCTTCTTTTAGTATGCCCATCTGTTCAAGGAACTCGTGTAGATCAATTTGTGGCTTCTCTTCATGATCTCCTGGCATCTTCTCTGATGAAATTTCCGCTACAAAATCTTCTTCTTGGATTTTGTCAGTCATGATCTTATTTTCAGTTCCCGAATTGCAGGATGATGAACTAGAAAATGACTGATTAAAAACTCCATTTTTCTTGAGTTCTTGGAGTCTCTGATGAATGACGTGAACATTGGGTTGAGCATTCAGATTGAGCAATCCACTGGAAGGAAACATTGAAATGAAGTTTTTGGTGGGAAACCATTTGAATTTCTGAGATTTGTTTAGAGGATTGAAATTAGAGCGAAGGTGGGGTAGGTTGAGGTAAGCGTCTGGCCCATATAACCTCCTTGCAGCTTCATCGTAAGCCATAGCTGCTTCTTCGGCAGTGGCAAAAGAACCCAACCAAAGTCTGGTTCGCTTCTTGGGCTCTCTGATTTCTGCCACCCATTTGCCCCAAGTTCTTTGTCGAACTCCTCGATACTCGCATGTGGCGTTCTGAGGCCCACCTTTGCCTCGTGCGGGGCCTTTCTTCCATGGCTTTACCAGAGCTTTTCTTGAATTTTCCATGTTTGCTTTCTTGAGGAAAAAAAGGTAGTTCAGTGAGAAGGGCTAGTGATAGTTGTAGTGCAAAGAATGAGTGAAAGGCGCGGGATATATGTACACTTAAAGTGTGTAGTTTTGGTTTAATTGGTTTCACGTTTTGATGAAGTTCCCAAGCCCATGTGACCGTTGGGATGATTGTGTAGTCTCAGGTACTTTTTAAAAATACTATCCGTTTTTGAATTCTTGTTAAATGATTTTATATTTCTTTTCTGATAGGAAATAATAATAATTATAATACTTACCAGTGAATTCCATGTACATATTCAATATGGATATGATGCATGGTATGCCTGTTCGCATGCAAGTATATGGATCCATAGATACTAATGTATGGAATTGAAGATGTATGATGCATAGATGCGATTAGATTAAGGCATCTACACACTAATATTTGACAAATGCAATTTATTTATTTTTATTTTTTTTAAACAAATGATAAAAAGTGTTTCTAATGTCGATTCTCTTGTTTGGAAGTAGTTTTTTCTTTTATCGAACAGTGGAGGACAACTTCAAAAGCGAAGTGAAACTAATCATTTTTTAATAATGATGTAATACGAGAGTGCTTTTGAAAGGATAATGGTTACTGGTGTGCAATTGCAAGGAAGTGGAGTAATTTTTGAAAAAATAGTAGGAAAGTGGAGTGTGGAATTTATTTTTCATATATTAAAATGGTATATAATGGTGAATTTACTGAATTATGAGATAATGACGAGGTTGGTTCCTCTCCTCCACAATATATTCCTTGATTCATGGCTCAAAAAAGGGCACGTTCTCTTTTATGAAACAATATTATGTTATTTTGAGGAAACTGACTCAACATTTAATCAGCCATATGTTTTGAGAAATCTAATGTGATATGTGACCATGGTATTTTTTGTTAATTTAATTTTCTTTAGTTAGGGGTATAATTGTCTTTTCACACGAGCAGTTTTAAACAAAATATTTTTAAAGTAATTTTTGCGAAAAAAAAATTCCTGTGGGGCTGGTTTGTTATCAAGACTAGAAGGGAGGTTACGAAAATATATATATATATATATATGCCAGATTAGAGGTAATTGTTATTAATTAAAAAACAGAGAAAGTAAGTATAATAAACTCCAACTAATTAACAAAATGGAAAATGATAAGAAAATCAAACCAAACAACCGAATAAAAGGTCGAATTTAACGTGGTTCACCTACGTCAGATTATTTTTTAAAAACATAACTCCTACCTCTTTCATTCTCTCTCCTCTCTTCCTCTAATTCTCAATTTTTCTTTTGTATTCAATTTTATCTTTGATTTTGGTTTTGTCTCTCTTCTTGATTTCGCAAAATTGAAGATAAAAAAAAAAAAAAAAAAAAAAAAATCTTCATGTTTTGTAAATACAGAAGCACAAAACCAAAACAAAAAAGAAAAAGAAAAAGAAAATAAAAGTTGAAACTGTTGTTTCTTTCCTTCAGATTTTGTATCATAAAAATCGAACACAAACTTTGAGAAGATTCATGGTTTCTCTTCTATGTGTTAGTTTTTTTTTTATTTGGTTTTTTTTTTCGTAAGAGATTAATGTGTTTTGTAATGGCAACTCTTGTGTAGATATTTATTTAACCAAAAAAAAAAAAAAAATTCCTCTGCATATTTTTCATTTGGGATTGGAAAGATTTATTTTTGGAAGATTTATGAATAGAGAAAAGTAGGTGATCTTGAAAAAGGAGCGAGAATAAAGAATTTTGAATCTTATCTCTATAATACTTTGGATATGTGTATATCAAGAGAGGGAGGGGATATATAAGAAGCATTGGTGAAAGGAAAATGAAAAATTGGGAGAGAAAAGATCGACAAAGCCATGTAAAATTCAGTGTTTATATGAGTAGAAACCTTTGGTTTCTATATGGTCCAAATCTTACAATATAAAATTAAAATTATTTAGTTAATGAATGCAACGTGGCAAAAAAAGATTGGCTAGTCAGTTGCATTAAATTTTAGGGAGGTGACTAAGATTTGTGCTCTATGGATGGAGTAAAATGATAGTGATTGCCTTGAATGAGCTTTCACACAGTCACAGAGTGGTCAATGAAGTTGAACATTTTAACTTGGGAAGGCCATTAAAGAGACTCACCTCAACATTTTTCATTTTCACGAGCTCCATTTCACATGTTTTTCTGACATTCACCACCAGATTCTCGGGACTCCCCATCACTTTTATCCCATGTCCGCTGCTCTCTCTCTCATGGAGTAAGGATACCATCCCATATTCTAGATGCATGTACCATCTCGCATAATTTAAATGTATGCTAAAAACATAATCTTATTTATTGTACTTGCCATGAGGGTGCGGATGAAACGATATACCCATGATTGCTATGAAGACAATGATACAAATTTCTTATAATTATGAAAATGATTCCACTTATTTGATGTTTACTAATAGGGTAAATTATCCCAATATAAGGGTATAATTGAATATGAAAAATTAATAATGATGCTAATTCTGATGAGTTAACGATAATGATGTAGATCATTACGACCTCCCCATAATATTAAGCCACTGAACATTTGTAAAGTTTTGCTCGAAACATTTATAATAAGTAGTATTTGTTACAAACTTACAAGTTCAATCAAACATTACCTCGTTCCTTTTTGTAAATAAGCTATACATTAACAAAGGCAAAAGCCACAGTACATATTCAGGGGGCATACGCTAGCTAATTACATGTCAAAAAAAAAACCCCAAGACAGCCAAACAAAAGCATTAAAAAAAAAGCCAAAAGCTCTTGAAACAAATTTGACTGTACAAGAGCAACCACCAGGACATTAATAAAATGGGATTCTGATGGTTTACCAACCACCCAGGATGACGAAAATACCCAAAACAGAACATGAAATACAAGAACATTAATCGAATATGGTATCTGGAAGGCTCCGCTCTCCCTCCAACCATCGGTTAGCAATAGAAGCGTGCAAACTTGAAAGTTGGAGTAGTCAGACGATGCATCAAATGAGCACAGAGGTTGTATTCCACAATTGAATCCAAGCTTTGAATTTTGCCCGGTGTCATGCCAATCAGCCCAACCAATCATCCAGACCTCCGGATATGGCATTTGAAGTTCTTTCATCCAAGCTTCAACTACACGTGTTCTCTCCCCCCGACTCACAAATGTCTTCATCGAAAGTTTCTGAACTACCAAACATGTCATCTACCCCTTCCACTTTCTTTCTCTCTTGCTAAAATGATTTCACAACACAGCCCAAAACATCATAATAATTTAGTCCTTTCACTAAGGACATACTCAGCTACAAGCTCCCCTTTACAACCTTGGTTAACAAAAGAAAGAAGAAAAAAGAAAAAGAAAAAGAAAAAAAAGAAAAGAAAAAAATCATTTTGATTTTGGGCTTCTACAAATGTTTCTCCATTTATCCTTTAGGTCCATCGCCGTGCGACCTTTCTGAAACACATGAACTCCAAAGTCCAAAATCTTTTTCCAGGGAATATTTTTGCTATTACTTGAATATCTCCGGAATCCCTCCTGCAACATAGAAGTAATGATCCCTATAGAACATATCTAGGGAAGAAAATTTGACAGAAACAAATCAACAAGACTAATAAACGTAAAGCTAGTGCTATTGCCAAGCTAAAAGTCATATATTTGAAATCCAAATTCTTGATCTTATATCCTACAAATTCTAGGAGATCGTTGAAGGTTTTAAGATTAGTACAGATAGGGTTTGTGTCTCCCAGCTACTTGTCAATGGCATCTTTATAGTAGTCAGGGTGCTTAGATGATTCATTACCTATATTTTCTCTCAAGGTCCTAAGGTCTATTTATTGGTAATATACTAGTCTAATCATCACCAGTGAATTGGAATTCAATTTGTTTGAAATCTCAGTGACAAGGAAATCTTTGAACTCACGTCTTCCTTTTCCCAAATGATGGACGCATTTCCTCCATGGAGGCTAATGCAAGTTGATGGACTCTCCTTCAAAGTGGTGTTTACTTGCATTTTCTTTGCCATGTCCTCAAATCAAGTGAAGAATTTGACCTTTGGAAGTCCCATCCAACCAAAATCAAAGGAAAAAAAGAAAAAAGAAAAAGAGAATCCTAGTTACAGTACTACTGTACCAGAATAGATTTGTGGATTAAGAATATATATCATGTCATCACCATGAAAACAAATGCAAAATGAAACTAGTACCTTTAGTATCTCTTCCTCTATTGGTGTCCATGGAACTTTCTTTCGTCTCAATTGAGGGATTGCTTGGTAAGTGCTACAAATTGAAACAAAAGGTTATTGTCAAAAATGGTGGCTGCACTAAAACACAATATAAGAGCACTCAAACAATAAAGTGACTCATATATCAGAATGATGGGAGAAAACATTACTGTCAAACATTCTAGTAGTTGTAACCATTAATGTATACTAAATGGTCTGTTAAAATTTATAGAAAAGAAATTTCTATGAAATGCACGAGTGACTGGATGATAATTACAAGGAAAACAATATGAATTATATTCAAAATAGACATGCAGCAACAAAATATCCATAGTATCTTCAAGTACAAGAACTTACTACTGCTTAGAACCAATGGACTTATCATCATCAGCTTCAAAACTTTCCTCTGCATTAACATTGGTTGGACAAGCAGCTTCGGGAGGTGAGCCAGAAACATGTTGTTGTAAAGCATCCTGCTGCAGGCCAACTTCAGTATGTGTCACACTCACATGGACTGTCTCTGTGTGTCTGCGGGATGAATTATCACCATCATGCTTATGATCAGATTGTAGTATTATATGTTCTCCTTCTAGCACTCTCACAGGTCGGCACTCCTGCCCCATCTTTTCTCCCTCCCTGTTATCTTTTGCTATGAGAGGCGGTGTTCCACTGATAATGGTTGCTCCTCCTTGTCCACAAGGTAGGTTGTCATTAGAACATGATGTTGAACGTTCTGCATGAGGCTTATCTCCTATATTTTTCCTACATTGGGAATTATAGACTTTATTTGCATTATTCCCATTGTAGTTTGGTTCATTGTTTCCATTCACATCTTCATCTTGTCTTTGTTGGCTTTGCTCCGACCTTGATCTTATAGAAAGCTCCTTCAGTCCATGTTCATTCCTCGAGCCAGTAAAAGCAGCCAGATCTTTCCTTGACAAAGACACATTTTCCTTCACTTTAAGGTACTCCGTAATTGCACGAGAATATGCACAGAAGGGGCAGTAAAAGTTCCCCCCATCATCAAAACTGGCTGTGGAGCCCAAACAGCTCTCATGAACCACTAATGGGCAGGTACTTGCACTACAAGCCAACAACTGACCACTTTTGTTACACTTCATGCAAAAATTCAGTTCCGTGCAGTCAGCTGCAGCCAACGAATCTTGACTGAATGAGCATTGGGAGCTCAAGAAAATATGCTTCTTCTTGGAAATATCAATCTTCTCATCATGAGACTCATCACTATCACAAGACATTTCGTATTCACGATTATGCTCCATGTCATCTTTCGTTTCATCAGCAAAAAATTTCCAGTGGGATCCATCTGGAGGTGCACCATTTGATGTACTCGGTTGAGAACCACGCAGACGGTTCCCTCTGGCTTCATCAATGGAAAGTTTATGATGGGGTGAACTGTTCAATGTTCTAGTTTGAGCACAATGCTCATTGTCATCCTTGTCATCTACAGATATATCTCGAGTCATTTCATTATCACTATGAGAAGTTTGTACATGATTGTTCAGGAAATTATCACTGTGGGTTACATCGGCATCTTTGCTCCGTGAAAGTCTCTTTAATGCAGTATGCTCATCATGGCCATCCTCTGAGAAACAGCTTCTTTCCAAGCTTCCCACTTGAGATCCTTTTGCCAAGTCCCTCCCTTGTCTTCCAGTCTGTTGTCCAACTATCCCAGGCGAACCTTCTAAATCCCTTTTTTCGTGAAGAACTGAGTTATGAACAATGGCTGTACTGGTACAAAAGACATCATGTTTAAGCTTCTTGGCAACATGCAAGTGACCATTTTCCACACTGATTTGTTCTTCATGGAATTGGGCTTCAAAATTTTCCCTCTTAGAGGGTAGCGAATTTTTTTCAGTCAAATCTTCTTGCAAGAGGCCATTCTGATTTTCAAGGGTTGAAGAAATTAAGTTCCCTTGTGCTGGCAGAATTTGGCCATTGGTGCCGCTCCCCTCAAGTCTCCTTGCAACAGCATTTAGTTCGGCATCATCCACAGGCACTCTATTTTCAGATTGATTTCTAACTGCCAAACCATATCTTTCCTTCAAGAATGCAAAAATTGGATTGCTCCCCTCCATAATTGCATCCTTCAGCTGTTATCAAGAAACAACAAAGACAAAAACTACAAACAAGAAATGGGGAGGAAAAAAACAAAAACAAAAACAAAATGAAAGCAGCATTTAGGCTTCCCACTTCTCTTCCTTTTACCTGTTGTAAAGCACATTTCGGTAAGCAAACTCTTTTATGCATAATAAAGGGCTCGATATCCCATTTCAACAGCTCTGGCCCAATTATTTTCGAATTTGATGCAGATATCTGAGAGTTGTATGTGTAAACATAGTTCAGCACAAATCACACATTCACGTCTGAGATTAAATGGGATTCATGAGATATTGGGTTGATTCACATTGCATTTCTTTACAAAATTCAACCAAGTCATCAAACGAAGTATATTACCTCGCAAAGTATGTGCCGAAGGACATCTTCACAGTTGTCTGATGGATCAAACCCAATTGTGGAGTCGAAGGAAGAAGAAACATCACTTGTCACTGTATTTCTTTGAGCAACGAAACTCTCCAAAATTCTCAAAGAGACCATTTCCCTTGCATTTTTCCCTAGATCATTACAGATCTCAGGAGTACTTCTAATCAAATCTGAGACATTGAAACCGTGGACATGGAACACCAATCCTCAATAGCAGAGAAAAGATCAAAACAATAAACTGAAGTAACTGTCCTTAAGTAAAAATTTAACTTCACACATACCAATTAAAACTGATGCATCTACTTGCTTGAAGCTTGCTAGGGTTTCAATGACCCAAATCCATGGAAGGGCTGAAGCAGAAGGCTTGCTGGAGCCAGAAACCACTCTTTCAAAAGCTTCAAAATCCATAGATCTGTCAATCAATCTGTCCTGGTTTTCCAATTTTCAGGGCTTTGATTGACTATATTGATAAAGAAAAGCTCTGTCTGCCAGAAACTGCAACAAGAGTGAAAAAATACAAACTGTAACCCCTCCTACCTGGCTTCTAGTAATAAGAGCCAGCGCACTCTGGTGCTTGAGCAACTGAACTGAAAATAAACTTTATGCCGATATCCGGACATTCAACACAAACAGGATGGTTACTATAAAATCAACATAAATAACAATCAGAACACAAACTGTAATGAGTTCCCTGTGCAATTGCAGTTGGAATCTCCTGATCTTATTGAACCATATGCACAATGAGTGAAAACATACATATCACTTCCGATCTTTAAAACTTAGCTGTCAGGTTTCAATACTATCTACTATCCTTCTGTTATCTGAGTTCCAGCAAATTGCTTGATCATTTTTCCTTATCTATACATTAAAAAAACATTCTACATCACTTTGGAAGGGATTTAAAAAGGTAACAGACAAATCTCCTTATTTCAACTAGATAAAACCTTTGTCCAACTACTTGAAGTCAACTGCATTAATCCTGTTTTATCATTCCACTCCATATCGAGCCTTGCAAATAAATCAAATGCCAACATGTTTTATCTTTGTATCACCCGGATTCCTTTTTATAATTCCCCTGTTCCATGCAACAGCTTTAATTGGATCACGTCACTCCTCACTGATAGTTATCAGTGTCAACACACATGGCTACATCATTTTGATCGTTGTTCCAACAAACTGCTTAATCATTTCTCCTTGTCTGTACATTAGAAAAACATTCTACAGCACTTGAAAGGGATTATTTAAAAAAAATAAAAAAGAGAGAGAGGAGGAGGAGGAGGAGATATTTCAACTCAATAAAACCTCTGTCCAACTACTTTAAGTTAAACTACATGAATCGTGTTTTGCCATTTCACTCCATATTATAGCCTTGAAAATAAATCACATGAAAACATGTATTTTATATGTGCATAACCGAAAATCCTTTTTGTTCTTCCCCTAATCCATGCAACAGCTTCAATTGTAGTGTGTCACTCACTGATAGTCATTAGTTTCAATGCACATGGATACACCATTTTGATATATGTTCTCTAATCTTGCACTTGGTGCTAACCCCATTTTCTTACAAACATATTCATTTCTAATCCTAAAATTTCTTCTTCTTTTTTTCTAATCACTAATCCCAATATATGCATTTCAACCATTCAAGTTTCTTAGTTGACCAACATCAAACTCCCCATAAATTCCAAACATAATATTGAACCCTTGTGAGGCTTCTCAATTTCTACTTGATAAGACATTGCACCTCCCCTTTTGGAAATGGCAGAAAATACCACTCAAGCCAACAACTGCTGATGTTCAGTTTATGAAATTTCATTGTATCCAGGTTTAAGAATTGTCCTACACTCACCTCACATCTAAACCTTTTGTGCAAAACAACCATTCTTTTTTTTTTTTCTTTTTTTTTTGATAAGTGAATTTTTTTCAGTCAAATCTTTTGCAAGAGGCCATTCTGATTTTCAAGGGTTGAAGAAATTAAGTTCCCTTGTGCTGGCAGAATTTGGCCATTGGTGACAAAATAACCATTCATAATCATAAACAACAACAACAACAGTGTGCGTACATAATTAATATCAACAATTACAAAGTAATGAAATAAACTATCTAATACTAAAATTTTAAAATTTTTCTAAAAAAATTTGTTCATTGAGTGTAAACCTTACCTATGTGAACCAATGATTCTTTGGTAACATAATTGAAACACCCATCAAACTCATGGACTTGTGTTCACATAGTACACATGCGTATACTCACACGCGCGCGCGCGCGCACACGAACACATATATAATTAAAGCTCCAAATAATATATCACATTCAAAGAACAGAAAGGAAAAAAATACACAAAAATATTATACAACAATGACCACGATGACAAATTGAAAAGAAAAGAGAAGCAAAAGAGAATTTAAAAGATAAGAGTGGTATAGGTACTCAAGTAAGTCTTTTATTACCAAAACAAGAAAGTTTTAGAGGGTTTTGATGGTCATAGTGGCTATGACTAGATGAAGTGGTTCACTGGTTCTATATTCCACTGCTTTGTAGTTGAGTCCTAACTGCTGAAACTGAATTGTGCTTTTATAAAGATTCACCCAGCAATAAACCTCGACCGAACCTTTTACATTTAAACTAATATAAAAAATAATAATAAAAAAAAAAAGGATAAAAGGAATGTGTATGTGTGTGACTAGAGATATGGATCAAGTTATATACATTAAGGATGTAAGTCAAATGAATTTGGTTAAAGAGAATAACCAATTAGAAAAATGAAAAAATTACTTACAACAATTACTAATTACAGAATATCCTATAGAAAAAAATTATAAGTAGGACATAGGAGATACATGAAATAAATATTAAGGAAGTAGATGGCACACTTATGAATATGGGTAATAATATAACTGTAGTACCTGATAAAATACATACGTAGTAAAGATAGGAATTGAATGGTCAACAAAGTCACTTAACAAAATCCTACAAGAAAATTAGTGCCAATTGAATGGAGGAAAAACACCATGGCACCAATTTATAAAAATAAATAAGATATACAAAAGAAATTATAGAGGAATTAAATTAAAGAGGCATACAATGAAACTCTGAAAAAGAATAATTTTACAAAATTGAAGAAAAGAAACTTCAATATCTGACAGTCAATTCGGATTTTTGTAGTTAAATTCACTATGGTGGCAATCTACTAAATAATACAATTAATAAAAGATTATTAAACTAACGACCTAACCTAATGAAACTTCCTCAGCATCCAAGTAGAAGGTCCAGGGTTCAAGTCCTCACTGGCACAAAATAAGGGTGTGAGTTTCAACTAGGAAAAGGAAAACAAGATTATAGAAGTAAACAAAAAGACAACCATAAATTTAGAGAAATCATATGATGGTATGTCAAGAATCATAATTTCGTGAGATTTACAAAGAAAACATTTCCATATAAAAGTTACAAATGTTATTTAGGGTTTTAGACCAGGACCAAATTTATAATGTATGCAAAGAGACAAGTGGCACTCTCTATAAAGTAACGACCCATTTCTTAATTCAAACTTGGGCAAGTTGGCAATCCAAATCACATACACACACGCAGAAATTAGGGTTACAGTTATGGTTTGTACGTAAACGCAGGAGGGCTGAGATAATGTAGAGAGATGACACACACGGAGAGAGAGAGAGAGAGGGATACCTGAGAGAGTTTCTGAGATGGAGAGGAGAGCGATTATGGTGCCTTCAGTAACAAAGAGCAAGAGTGAGGAAGACGAGGAGGGGGGAGAGTGAGGTTTATTCGCAGAGGCGTTGAGGCACTTAATAATAGCCCAATGCGACGACGTTGTACAGGAAGCCAATGCGACGCATATCACTCTAAAAACCAAAAACCTTATATTAATTGAATTATTCCATGCACCCAAATAATTCTAAAACTAAATGTAAATTTAGAAAATTTATAATTTTTTAAGAATATTAATTCTTCAAATAATATATATAATAGATTAAAATTTAGAGAAAATAAGTTAAAAATAAAACGTTTATTGTGATTTTTAAAAATATTCAAAATTAAATTACAAATATATTGAAAGTAGAGGTATGATTTAGGTTTGAGTTAGGTTGATGCGCAGCTCTAATTAAGTTTGGAATAAAATTTTACTTATTGTTAAAAAAGAGTTAGTCAAACTTATGAAAAAATCAATCTTACCTTGTTTCAAGTAGAACTGCCCAAATTGCACTCCTAAGTTATAAAACATTACCAACTAAACAATGAGAAATATCAAACATAATAACATAATAAGAAGATGTTATTACGTGGACTATATTATCGATTACATGGAATTGGAGCAATAGATTTGGAATCGAAGAAAAATTTAGTTTAAAATTAAAGAAAATTAAACTAATGTTTTTTTCAATTCCATCAATACCATACTTTTAAGACTTCAATTCTATACAATCAAATATAAGTATTTGTTGTTGGTTACTTTTGTTTTATATTGGTTATTTCTAGTGTTACTAAGCAACAAACATGCACCGCGATACCTGATGTGAGCCTCAAACGACTCACTTTCCATTTGGAAATTGATTGAACTCACTTCTCAACAAATGTACCACGGTACCAAATGTGATTTGCTTATTTATGGTTGAGTGAATATATTATTTCCTTAATTTTAATTATATCATTCAATTGTATTATCTATTTTACATATTACATGGAGCATTCATAGCATGTAAGCATAATCCAAACTGACCATGGGCTTACACACTCTGGCAATTGATATAAATTGGTGTGGGCTTCTCCACTTCTGACAAGAATAAATTATTATAGGGTTTTGGAATCAAATTCGCAAAGCTATACGCAAATAAATGTGCCATATGATACTTTCAATTAGTTCTTTGTTTATGAATTTTTTTATGATTGGCTAGAACTAATAGTTCGAGATCATATAATAATTTTTCATTATTAAGGATCTTGCCTATATTTTTCCTTTATATAGCTCTTCAAATAAAGTAATGGCTTTTTAAAAATAATAAAGTATATAGCTCTTCAAATAAAGTAATAACTTTTTTAAAATAATAAAGTATATAGTGAAAGATAAGTCCCGAGAAATCTTCAAATAAAGTTATCTCACTTTTTTAAAAAGTGAATAGCGAATATGCAAAATTTGCACACCAAGTGGGTGTGCACAAATTTTCATCACACTCTCACCTAGAGTTCTGAGAAAGGACAAAAAAAGAAAAAGAAACAAATGTATCCTTCGGACGTGTTGAATCAACACTTTGATCTTAATTTTTTTCAATTTAAAATGATCTTAATTTTTTTCAATTTAAAATTTAAAGCGTTGATTTGATACTCCAATCCAAACATGGCATAAGGGTACTTTTGTTTTAAGAAATTTGGAGGAAATAAATCAAATGAAGAAATAACAGTGACTCACAAAAATAAAAGAACTTAAATAATTCTTGGTTTAAAATGAGAAGGGAAATACGGAAAAATAAGAATGACTTAGGGTCGCTTAGTTTGTAACTTTGAAAACAATTTTTAAAAATTCGAGGATTATAAAAGACAGTTCTTTGAAAACAGGAGTTTTCAAAAAACTGAACCAAATATAATTTTTTGTACAATTAAAATGTTAACTGTACAATTTTTTTTTTTATATCTTTAAAATTTTTAAAGACTATTTTCAAAATTATAAACTAAGCAAATCATTAATATCTTAACTTGTTTTTTTAGTCTTCTAGATAGGAAAAGAAGGAAAGATAACAAGAGACGTGACTGCATTTACTTCCATGGTTATCTGTAAACAAACATAATAATGTTTTGTCACAGGTAATGAGAAAGATAAAACTATTCTTTTATTTACTTTTGTTATTTTTTGTGAACTGTGTGAAGAGCTGGTTACTATTATTTCATTTCTTTTTTCTGTCATAGGTTGCCAAAATTGTGTCATGAAGTGCAAATATCATTACCTGTGGAAAAAGCTTTTATTATTCCCCTTCTTTTATTATTTAGTTTACATAAGATTATATTCCAAAAAGTAAGTAAAAATGGTACGTGGTTACACGTATTGCCTTTAAGTTTCTAATTTTTTTTTTTCCTCTCTTTTGGATTTTTATATAGATTTTATTTGTATTTGACCATATGGAATTAGAATGGATGAAATTGAAAGAAAGAAAAAATTTAGTTTATATTTATGAATTATTTTTCTCTAATTTTACCTATTTTTTTCAATTCCATGTAGCCACCTAGAGAATTTAAAGCCCGTATATCATTTTTTTTTAGCGGAAAAGTCAATGTTAGCATTCAATTTCAGGTTGAAGGTGGCAAAACATCAGCCTCTCTCCGCCTCTTAAAATGGACTCAAAATGAAATTCAACTATGAGTTTGAAAACCTTTCATCTTTCTTAACAAGCACTCTAATGATTATGAATTTATGAGATTGTCGTGTTCATAATTTCACCAATATTATGATAGAATAATTTAGCTTAAAAATAAAAAATTTCTGTATTTGGAGATTAATTTGATAGTACACTTTTAATAAGTTGGAGGTTTGATAAAATATGACACAAGGAAAAAATTATGCCTTTGAAGCCTATTTGCATGAATGTTGATCGGATTGCTTAAATTGTCATGAAAATACCACCAATAACAGGTTTTTATAAAAGTTATGACATAACACATTTTTTATCCTTAGATGTAAATTTGGTCCAAATCTGACATCTGAAAAAGAAACATTATGGTTTAATCTCTAGAAATTAATAAAGACCCACTATGAATATGGAATAAAAATAATACTCTTCTACACTGTGAACAATTATTTATCAGTTAAGAATAATGAAACTCACGTCGAATAATTGTCAAACCTAATACTTTTTAATTAATTTTTTATATCAAATACAACTAAATGAAAAAATCTACTACTTCAATCATTGCATTATTAATCAATTAAAAATAATAATTCTAATAATTCCCTAAAAGATGCAAGAATCAATTCCCATCAGTTAATTATGAGCCCGCATTATTTAGTCGGCCTAAAACTTTCACTTGGTATAACATCGCTCATCTTTATTTTGTCGCAAGCAAATTTTTTTTTGTTTTTTCAGTGATTGTGGGGGTGATCAAACAAATCTTATCACGTGAAATGTATCCGGTGTCAATGAATAATAAATGTTGGGTCATTTCTCTCCACATCAAGCCACATATTCATGTGGCAGACAAAGCACCAAAATACAATGGACCTTGTTTCAATCTTTTTCCTCTCTCCCCATACGCTCCCTTTGCCTCCTCCATCCATAAATGGAGTTTAAAGCTTTCTTACAATGATGACACGTGTCACATAATACCCAGGCCCACGTGTTGTGGATAAACTTTATGTTTCTAATATTAATATGTTTATGGTACAGACAATGGGACCTGTTTGGTGTCGGTAGACAATTTAACCACTACTCCCCATTCAACTCTTTCTTTCCTTCTCTTCCCATCCTTTTCCAAGCTCTCTCCCTCCCACCAAACAAAACATAGAGCTTATGGAGACCACAATACTTGATGCTCTTCAAGTAGCAAATGTATTCCCACCAAACAAAACATAGAGCTTATGGAGACCACAATACTTGATGCTCTTCAAGTAGCAAATGTATTCGATCATGAATAAACTTGTTAATATGACTCCCTATCCCTAACTAGTGTTGGATTAGATTTAAGATCAATCTTTTGTTCCTTGTGGATCCTCGCTCATCAAGCTCATACTTGAGTCGTAAATTGAAACTAATTGATCCAGGTCAAACAATGATATTTGAGTTTAGACTTGGAGCTTGATTGATCTGGAATGAAAGAAAAGTGTAAGTTCCAGTGGATTCAGCTTGATTGTAGCAGCACCACCAATATTAAGGGGGGTGGTTGTGACTGGACATACCCCACCAACCAATGCTTAATACAAATAACTACTACCATTCTACCACCATCTTTTCTCAACTACTCTATGAAATAGAGGGCTATGACCAAAATTTAGTTTTATATATATATATATATATATATATACACGCCATATATAATCAACAATCTATCACGAGTCCATCTACATGATCAAAATCAAAATCAAACAATGACTTCAAACTGAGGAGTTGTCACATACCCAATAACACAAATATCACGATGACACACTCAGAATAACTAATCCATGAAGAAATATAAATGGTAGATTATATATATATAAACTCAATTACCTATTAGTACCAAATAAAAACATTCATTCGATAAACACACACTTACATATATATATATATATAAATGGAAATCCCTAGAAATTGCGGAAAACCTAAATGGTATGCCATATTAATCAATTGAACAAATCAAAATCAATAAAACCTAATTCTCATGCTTAGATCATCTTGAGATTTCTTTGAAAAATACAGTCGATGTACATTTTAGTCCCACAGTCAACTACACATACAAATCATACATAACCAAAATTTTAAAAAGAAAAAAGAAAAAAGTTAATTATACCTATTATTTGAGAATTCTAGGGTGGAAGGGAAGAGATTGATGTGTTGAATCTACTACCTTGGGACGCGAATGACAGAGGCGAATAATCTGGAGAAGGCGAGTCGGAAGCGAGGGAAGGCTCTGACGGTGTACACGGTGGTCTGGCGTAGGAATTGCTCCACGGTCTCGATAAAGAGGTTCAGGCTTCGGATCGGCGGAACGTAGAGTGTGAGAGGCACCGCCGAGAAGGCTACGGCGAAGAAAAGTTGCAGCATTTGATCCACCGCGAATTCTAGAGAGAGAAAGAAGGGGGAAGAGTTCTAGAGAGAGAGAGAGAGAGAGAGAGGGGCGCCTAATTTATCTGGCAAGATGAATTTGTATTGGGTGATGTAATTTATTACAACTCCTTGTATCAGCTACAGACACATATTATGAGCGGTGATATACTCACCCGCTTAAACAGTTGACCCTTCACCGCCCTCAATTTGTCAACTGTATTAAATGAGACAGACCTACACGAGTCCCACTTTATTGAACGTGTAATGGATAGCGATTATCTTATGTATGTGTATGCATAAATGATACTCCGTCCCTAATTAAGTGTTGTTATTGAAACAGTATTAAAATTGATTTTTTTTTTTTTCCTCTGGATAAGAAAACAAAATTCACTGATAAATCTATGTTCATATTTTAATTTTAATTTGAAATAGTTCTTTACATTTCGAAGTAGATGGGGGAGAGCATTCTGAGTGCACATTCTATACTTAAAAAAACAAAGCATAGTGTCACGTCCTCAATTATGTTAATGTAACTTTACACTTATTTTGAAGACTCTAATTTATTAGCGTGAGGTGTACCTTTTATTTTATTTTTTAACTCTATTTTATTATTTTTAAAAATTTATTTATTAAAAGTTAAAATAATTTTAAAATTTTTTTTTTTTTCCCCAATGTCTTTATTCCCAAAACTATTTGAATAATGAAATCTCAAATTAAAGAAATAATATCTAATTATCATTTGACTTATAAATAATATTTAAATTATGTATTACTTTATCTGATTTAGTTGTTCATTTTTAAAACTTTGACTCATTATTTGTGAGTCAAAATTATTCAATTAACAATTATATAAATTTATGAAAAAAAAAAAAAATTGAGTAAAAATAACTTCAAATAAGTCAAAAATAAAAAATAAGTCAAAGTAATAAACAATTAATATGGGAAGAAAGTGGAACAAAATTAACCCCTTCGTCCCCAAACCGCAAAATCTAAAACCCAAACTCCGTTACCACCGCCACCATTGACACCATGCTGAGAACAAAACAACCGCTGTCGAGTCCTCCGGCTTTGCGCCATTATGCCCCACTCCAGCACCCAGCCGCTGAAACCGATCCACAGTTGTTGTAACCGCTGCCTCTGTTTGACTCCCGGCCTTGCCATTCTCATCGTCATCCACCTCGCGGCTGACCGACGTCAACACACCAGATAACGAGGTCAAAAGGGTTCTCGGCATCGCCGAGAAGCCCTTGTAAGAATAATATCTCAGGCGCCGAGGTCTCTCTCCATCTCCACTACCGTTGCCGACGCCTTGTCCGTCCTCAAAGCCTCCGAAGACCCATCATCTTCTCTAGTCGGTCACAAAAGAAATCGTTGGCCACCAAATCACAACTCCCACTTACAAACTTAAAACCGAATCAGTAGCAATCCCAAAAAAGCCATAGCTGTTACCATAGAAAAGTGTGTGATTCGGATCGTTAAGAGCAGAGTCTAATTCAAGTTTAGGCCTTTTCGATATAAGCTTAACCATAGATTTCAATTGCAATTTGGAATTTGAAATTCTGAATCGGGCAAGACTAAACAAGTGTGGGTGAGGAAGATTCAGATGGAGATAAAAGGTGTTGGGGTCTATGTTGATGTCCTTGATTGCCATATGTCGGTGAAGGAAGGGATGACGGCGGCGACTGACTCTTCTAGCCACCAAAGGAGTGCGGTGGGAACAATTGTGGTGATGGTGGAGCGCAATGATGGTGTTGGGTTTGGTTGTGGTGGGTGGTGCTTATGGTGGTGGGTGGTGGTGGTGGTTATTGTGGTGGTGGCTTTGAAGGAATGGATCAGATCAACTGTGTCCATTAAAATGATTTGAGAATGTAAAAAATAAAAATAAAAAAATAAAAAATTTATAATTTAAATAAATAAATTCATAAGTTGCAGAATAATAAATTACTTTTATCTTAATTTTGGATGATAACATTTAATCTATTAAATTTGTGAATGCCATTATTTAAAAAGTGTTTAAGTTACATGCCTCTAATCCAAACCTGAAATCAAGGGTATGAAGATAATTTATTCTTAATTAAATTATGACTCTTTTTAAATTAATTAATTGATACAATCATTGGACATAAAACCTATCAATTTTAAACAAGTACAAACAATAATTATTTTACACACCGTACATAATCAGTTTCAATCACCTTTTCTTTTAAAAGTATAATTGGACATAAAGCCTATCAATTTTAAAAGCTTCATCCACTACTTGGATCCACAAATTTGTAGATAATCTGGTGTGGGTCAATGGAATCTCCATAACCAAATCAATTGCATATCCACGGAATAGACTAGACTAGACTGAAAGTTAAAGAGGATGAGAGTGTGAGTTTACTGTTAAGAAGAAAAAACTATTCATAATAATATCAATTAAATACCTATATCCAAATCCAACTTGAATTCACTAAGGATGCAAAATTATGTCAACATAGACATTTAAATTTGGGGTTAAATGCATAACTTTCTTGTCCCTGTTTTTGAACTAAAGCTAGTATAACTTTTTTATTTTCTTAATTTTTCTCTCTCTATTTCCTAAATTGGATTTAGTCTTCAAATGTGGTAATTGCGGGGAGTATAGTGATTTAATTGCAATAAAATAATAAACAGAGCAATAGTGTTATGAACTGTCACAATCACAATAGTCCAAAGAATCCAATGTAACTGATATGGAAATTGTTATCAACTAATTTGACCATAAACTATTTTAAAAGTGTCAACCATTTGTAGGATCAAAATCAAATGCCTTTTATGAAAGTTATATAATAGTTGTTAATTCGTTGGATCGTTGACCTTCATGCTTTATAAAGTTGTACCATAAAAATCATCGAGCCTAATACAACAAATATGGGATTAAGGTAGGTGATATGAATTATGATATTGAAATTGGCACAAACAAGTATGAAAATATGAAAAGATGAGAGAGAGAGTGCTAAGAAAGTGAGTGGGAGAGATGATAATTTTACTAGTTTTCACATACCACAATTGTATACATTGCAAGCCTATTTATAAGTGTGACTGTCGGGGACAACAAGTAACTTCTTGCATAAGCTGCATTGTCGTGTGCGATTCCTTTGACAACTGGCACATATGTTTATTGTTGACAATCTTCACACACAAAATGATAACATACATACTTATTGCAAGTGGACCCCACACCAAAATATATATATATAACAGTTGGCACATATTTTAAATGGTCAAAAAAGGAACCAGGGTCTTGTAAATGTGCGATTATAAAAAATAAAAAATAAAAAATAGAAAAAAGAAAAAAAAAAATTGTGTCCAAAATCTAGAAACTTGACCAAACTACCTCAATTGTCAAAAATCTTGATCTAAAAGTTGAATCAATTTACATCAATAAGATTAGAAAATTCTGCGAATGTACAGAGAAAGTGCAAGGATAGCCACATTTATGAATGCAGTCATATGGGACCTTTATTTTTATTTCATTAGGTAGATGTAATTTAATAATACTTTCTCACTTTTAAAGGAAAAAGTCAAATACCTACAAAGGCATTGTTCTTTGAAAAAGTCTGACCTTAACATCAAAAGTGATGGATTTTAAGAACCCAACAAGTTAGACATCGAGCTAAGCCAAATTTGGGCCTCATTTTTGGGCAGAAATAAGGGTATTTTTGGGCCTTACACAATTTAAATTAATTATCAACGGATGTAGGTGCCGAAATCAAATTAAGGTGTAAATCCATTCAAAATTTAGCCCAGTTTGAGGTGTAAAACCATTCAAATTAATTGGATGTCTGGCAAAAAAAGAAAAAAATGGATTTTGATACGGAAAAAAAAAAAAAAAAAAAAAAAATCAATGTAACTGGATGTTATGTTTGGAAATACTAAAATTCTACATTGATTTTAAAATTGGAGATAATTTAATATAAAGTTTGAATTAATTTTTTTTTTTTAAATTTTAATTCTAAATACCAAATTGATACTCCCAAATGCAATATGAGTGCAATTTTTTTTTAACATAGGTAAGGTTCATGTTAAATTATTATTATTATTATTGTTATTATTATTATTTTCCTTCATGTTAAATTAATCTCATGTTACTAATATTTCAATAATAATCTACTAATGATATTTAGATTGAAGGGTATGGTTGAAACACTAATCGCTCTGTGTTTCATTCAATCACTTCAACTTATTATTTGAATAACATAGCTCCTGTTAGACTCTTTAACCTACAAAATAAAACCCTGTGAGATTTATGAAGAGCCATTTATGGAAGCAGAATCAAGCTACCATAAAAAAAACATTTGGTGCAAAGGATGCTCTCGGGAACTTGACCTAAACTCAAATTTGAATTAGTTTTGAGATTATTCATTCCAAGTCTTGTGCATACACACATATGCTTACATGCATATATATATATATATTTACCTGTATTTTGTTTCAAACACTAGAATTGCAGACCTAAGAGCTACAAGGTCTAATGCTTCACCAACTTCCCAAAGAACCACCCTCAAATCACCCTCCATCTCTCACCCCACAAAACCCTCTTAACCATCACCAGTCATTCAGCTTTGAACAAAAATACAGAAACACATGTAACCTCCTTCTCTCTCTAACCCACTCAAGGTCTCTATCCAAAGGCCTCCAACTCCATGCCCACATCATCAAATCAGGTATCCAAACAATCCCACTCATCTCCCATCACCTCATCAACTTCTATTCAAAAACCCAACGCCCACTTATTTCCCGCCAAATCTTCCTTGAAGCCCCAACCAAGTCATCCACCACTTGGAGCTCAATCATCTCTTCTTTTGCCCAGAATGAGCTCCCTTCGCTTGCTCTCGACTTCTTTCGCCAGATGCTCCATGCCGGGGTTCGACCTGATGATCACACATTCCCGAGTGCAACCAAAGCGTGTGCGATTCTTTCCAGGTGTGATGTTGGGCAATCGATGCATTGTCTTGCTGTGAAAACTGGGTTTGACGGTGATGTGTTTGTGGGGAGTTCGGTGGTTGATATGTATGCCAAATGTGGTGAGATTAAAAATGCCCGGAATGTGTTCGATGGAATGCCGGATAAAAATGTGGTTTCTTGGAGTGGAATGATATATGGGTATGCTCAAATGGGTGAGGATGAGGAGGCTTTGAGGCTGTTTAAGCAAGCTTTGCAAGAGGGTTTAGATGTTAATGATTTTACTTTTTCAAGTGTTGTTCGGGTTTGTGGCAGTTCTACGCTTCTCGAATTGGGAAAGCAAATACACGGTTTGTGTTTGAAAATGAGTTATAATTCGTCCAGCTTTGTGGGTAGTTCTTTGATTTCTTTGTATTCCAAGTGTGGAGTAATTGAAGGAGCTTGTCGGATATTTGATGAGATATCCATTAGGAATCTAGGCATGTGGAATGCAATGCTGATTGCTTGTGCTCAGCATGCGCAGACGGACAAAGCATTTAATTTGTTTAAACAGATGGAAAGCGATGGCATGAGACCAAATTTCATCACCTTTTTGTGTATGCTATATGCTTGTAGCCATGCCGGGCTTGTTGAAGAGGGTAAGCATTATTTTGAGTTGATGAAGCAGTATGGAATTGAGCCTGGGGAGCAGCATTATGCTTCAGTGGTGGACTTGCTTGGCCGTGCTGGGAAATTGCAGGATGCACTTTCGGTTGTGAAGGAAATGCCAATACAACCAACAGAATCTGTATGGGGAGCTTTATTAACCGGCTGTCGAATTCACGGGGATACGGAATTGGCGGCTTATGCAGCTGATAGGGTTTTTGAGTTGGGTCCTGTGAGCCCAGGCCTGCATGTGCTATTATCTAATGCTTATGCAGCTGCTGAAAGATATGAGGAGGCAGCCAGAGCCAGGAAAATGCTAAGGGACCAAGGAGTGAAAAAGGAAACAGGTTTGAGCTGGGTTGAGGTGGGAAATAAGGTTCATACATTTTCTGCAGGGGATAGGTCTCACTCAAAATCCATTGAGATTTACCAGAAATTAGAGGAATTAGGGGATGAAATGGAACAAGCCGGTTATGTTGCAGACACCAGTTTTGTGCTGCGAAAAGTGGATGGTGAAGAGAAGAATCAAGCAATTAGGTATCACAGTGAAAGACTAGCCATTGCATTTGGACTCATTACCTTCCCACCCGAAAGGCCAATCAGGGTTATGAAGAACTTGCGTGTTTGTGGTGATTGCCATAATGCAATTAAATTCATGTCTAAATGCTCTGGAAGAATAATCATTGTGAGGGATAACAATCGTTTTCATACATTTGAAGATGGGAAATGCTCATGCGGTGACTATTGGTGATTGAATTGTAAGAAATACATTCACCTTGATGAATTTTTGTTTAACCGGTGAATTATAAGAGGTTTTTTTCAATAATTAGTGGTGATTGAATTGTTACAGATTCATTGGTCCCGTTCCAATTTTTTTTTATGATAAATACTTAGAAGAATTCTTTGAAAAGAATATTTGTTTCAGTCCCTCTTTGCTGTCATTTTATCCATGTCATTTTATTGGTTGCTATTTTCCTATCATATGGAATGCTTTGCATTTTGTTGACTTATTCTTAGGAGACATCACCTATTCCAGTTTGAATTTGAACTTCCATATTTTTTTTAGTCTCAACAGACCTTTGGTTTTATAATCCGCATTGATTGTGTTCAAAATTGTTGGATGACATGGTGACATGGGGTTGTGAAAATATTTCCAGTGCTTGGATTAGTGTCTTCCTTTTTTATGCATTAAAAAGGTAATATCTAAAAACGTGTATGTGTGTCAGTGGGAGGAATTAGGGTGTGATTATCTCTCATAAATCATGATTCATGAATATGGCATACCAACTCTTATTCTCTAATCAAATTCGAGGATCTCTCATAAATTAAACAGGTTGCATACCCTTTCAAAAAATTTGCATTTTATGTTGTATTAGTCAAATGATCAAGCTTTTCAATTTTTAAGTTCATGTTCAATACTTCTTCTGTGCCATATTAATGACCGGTACCATCAAATTGTTCTTGTATGTGATAATGTTTCAATATTTTGTTTTTAGAAAGAGTAATATTACCAGTTTTCAGTACACCCACATGGATCGAACTTAGAACTGAGAACTATATATTTTGAATTCTGAAAGGAGAAAAGATGAATTGATTTCATTTTCACAGCATATGATATGAATATGTTATTGATGTTTGAGGTGTAATATTCATCCTATTTGCTGCATAGGATTTCTTTTCCCCAAGTTTTATGCTGATGATATACCAAGTTTTATGCTGGTGACTATTGGTGAGTGGCATCAAAATGCAATGGGAACAGATTGAATTGTTCATTTAGAAACGACCTTCCCTGGGAACAGATTGAATTGTTCATTTAGAAACGACCTTCCCTAACACACATATCCATAAAGAATAGAGCTTGATTCTTTTCTGTATTTGGCAGAGAGCATGATCCATGTCTCTCTTGAAAATGTACTTTGTTTGCCTGAAAGAAGCAAAGCAAGAATTATAATAAAGGTACATTGAAACCTAAAGAAATATATGGGAGAAAAAACTTCTCTGATATTTTTATTATTGTTATCTTTGGAATAAGTGAATTACCAGAATAAATAGGAAAGGAAACCTTCACAATTAGGTTAACCAACTCCTTGATTCTAGGAAGTAAAATAGGAAACTAACTAACAGAAATCTTGGAGATTTGGATACTAATTATCTTCATCTCTTTATTTGAAACTAACAAAATCTGCTAACTAAAGCTGCTAACTAATTATCTTGGAATTTCCACACTCCCCCTCAAGCTGGGCAACATACATCAATCATTCCCAACTTGGAAAGAAGGATTTCAAAGCGATCTCGGTTAAGAGCTTTGTGAGGATGTCTGCGGTTTGAAGACTTGAAGGAATATAGATCATCTTGATGACTCCCTGATCGATCTTTTCTTTGATGAAGTGCCGATCAATCTCAAAATGTTTAGTTCTGTCATGGTGAACTGGATTTTTAGCAATACTGATAGCAGCTTGGTTGTCACACAACATCTTTATTGGACTTTCAGTAGGCATATTCCATGTGCCATAGGCCTAAATTCAGCCTCAACACTGTTTCGAGCAACTACAGACTGCTTCTTGCTTCTCCATGTAACAAGGTTTCCCCACACATAGGAACAATAGCTTGAGGTAGATCTTCGATCAGTTTGGGATCCTGCCCAGTCGGCATCTGAGAAAATTTTCATGCTAAGGTCTGTCCCATTTTTAAAGAATAACCCTTTCCCTAGAGTCTTTTTGAGATATCTGAGAATCCTGTAAACTGCTTCAAGATGTTCATTAGTTGTATTGTTCATAAATTGACTAACCACACTGACAGGAAAACTGATATCCAGTCTTGTGTGAGACAGGTACATGAGTTTTCCCACCAGTCTTTGGTACCTCCCTTTGTCAACTGAAGTAGAACTCTCCTTTATGTCAGGTTTGTTGAAGGGTCCATAGGTGTTTCTGAGGGCTTACAACCGAGCATAGTTGTTTCTTTGAGCAAATCAAGCATATACTTCCGTTGTGAGATAGAAATAACTTTGCTGGATCGAGCCACTTCCATGCGAAGAAAATATCTCAATGTACCATGATCCTTGATTTCAAACTCTTTGGCAAGAGTACTCTTTAATAGACTTATCTCTTCTTCATTATCACCTGTCAAGATAATATCATCCACATATACAATAAGGATGGTAATTTTCCCTTCAGGAGACTTTTTGATAAATAAGGTGTGATCTGACTGGCCTTAAGTGTATCCATGCTTTTTGACCACTATGGTAAATCTCTCAAACCAGGCCCTTGGTGACTTCTTAAGGCCGTAAAGAGATTTCCTAAGTTTGCAAACACGGTTGATATTGCTTAGGTTCTCAAAACCAGGAGGGATCTCCATGTAGACTTCATCTTCCAAGTCTTCATTAAGGAATGCATTCTTGACGTCAAGTTGATGAAGTGGCCAATCCAAATTGACCGCCAAGATAGAAGAACCCGGACTGTGTTTAACTTAGCAACCGGAGCGAATGTTTCTTGATAATCAATCCCATAGATTTGAGTCAATCCCTTGGCTACAAGTCTCGCCTTATATCGGTCAACACTTCCATCTGCTTTGTACTTAACATTGAATATCCACTTGCATCCCACAGGGTGTTTGTCTTAGGGAAGTTATGTGAGTTTCCAAGTACCATTCTTCATAAGAGACATAATTTCTTCACTAACTGGTTCCTTTCATTTAGGGTGCTTTAAAGCCTCTTGTATGCAGCTTGGAATGTCTATGTTGGACAGATTCGAAGTAAAAGCGCGGTAACAGGGAGGTCGTCTCCCATATGTCACAAAGTTTGAGATCGGGTGCCGAGTGCATGACCTAACACCTTTTCTTTGAACAATAGGAATATCAAGATCATTACTAGGATAAGAATCTGTGTTACCTCGAGTAGAAGTGACTGGATTTGAAGCGGACGCTTGGTTCTGTTCAGGAAAAGTGAGTTGATCCACCTCCTTTGGAGCTGTCTACTTTCTTGAGTAAACAATCCTTTTAAATATTTTTGCTTTTTCTTGTTGAGTCAGAATTTGAGGACTGTTTGGAGAGGGATCTGAATGAACAGGACTGTTTGGAGTATGTTCGGAATGAACATGTTTAGATGTTGACTCAAGTAGGATACGCGTTGAGGTAATGGAAAGCACAGAGATATCCACATCTTGCCAAAACTGATATTCTTCTAGCAAGATAGAATTCTCCCCCTAAATGAGTTTTGGAGTAGAAAGACTGATTCTCAAAGAAAGTTACATCCATGGTGTTATAGAACTTCCGAGTAGTGGGAGAGTAGCATTTGTAACATTTTTGGTGAGAGGAATATCCGAGAAATAGGCATTTTATGGCTTTGGGATCTAGTTTGCTCCTTTGATAAGGTGGTATGTGGACAAATGCTGAGCAACCGAAGACTTTTAGTGGCAAGGATGAGATGAGTCTGGATTGTGGGTAGACTTGTGTGAGTACTTGGCATGGAGTTTGGAATTTCAAGACTCTTGAAGGCATTCGATTAATGAGATAGGCAAATAGCGGTAAGGACAACTTCCCCCCAGAAGTGTTTAGGGACATGACTTGTGAACATAATAGAACGAGCAACTTCTAAAAGGTGTCGGTTTTTCCTTTCGGCTATCTCATTTTGTTGTGGGGTGTCTATGTAAGAACTTTGATGAACTATCCCATGATCAAGAAGGTAATTCCCAATAATATAATGAAATTATTCCTTGCCATTGTCAGTTCTAAAAATCTGAACTTTGGCTTGAAATTGTGTTTGGATCATTGAGTGAAATTTTTTAAAAATTGGTCCTGCCTCAGATTTTTCTTTCATGAGAAACATCCAAGTGATTCTAGAATGATCATCAACAAAAGAGATAAACCTTCAGGTTCTTGTGATATTATTGACTCGAAAAGGTCCCCAAATATCGCTATGTATAACTGAAAAGGGATGTGATTCCTTATATGGTTGAATCGGATAAGAATTTCGAGTATGTTTGGACAATTGACAGATTTCACACTGGAAAGACTTTGAATTTTTATTAATGAATAAAGTAGGAAACAACTTTTCAAGGTATATGAAACTTGGGTGACCTAATCGAAAGTGCCACAACATAACTGCACTTTCATTATTAGAAATTGGAACCGAATTGGAATTCCTAACAGATTGACTCTCTACACAATGAACACTTTGAGATTGTTTTTCAAGTTGATTATCGCTCTTGAAGAGGTAGACCCCTTCACTTTCCTTAGCATTGCCAATTGTTCTCCCCAAATCCAAATCCTGAAATTCACAATGAGTGGGAAAGAATTTAGCAACACAATTCATATCTCTAGTAATTTTGCTAATGGATAGCAAGTTAAAGGTCGATTAGGAACCAACAAAACCGAATTTAGAACCAGGGTCTTTGAGATGATAATTGACCCAATACCAGCTATAGTGGATAGAGAACCATCTGCTATTCTCACTTTGTAATTTTCAGAACAAGGGACGTACTTGTAAAATAAGGAAGCATCCCCAGTCATGTGGTCAGATGCTCCAGAGTCAATAATCCAAGATTTTTTATTCTCAGTTTGGACTCCAAGAGCACTTAGAAATGTACCTTTTTGTGCTACTGAACCTGTGCCGATGACTGGTGTTGCAAACTTCACTGAAGTTAGCTTAACATCTTCTGCAACATCTCAATTTGTTCCTTGCTGAAGGGTGAAGTTTCGGTTGTTGGTTGCTCATCTGTGGTGGCTGCAAAGCCACGGCCTTCTCTGTCCTGAAATGGTCTGTTTGGCTTCCAATTGGCTGGCTTCCCATGAATTTTCCAACATGTTTCTTTGGTATGTCCAAGCTTATGGCAGTGGTCACACCAAGGCTTGCCTTTGCGGGTTCGATTGTCATTGGTTGGATTCATTCCACGGGTTGCAAGAGCCAAGCTTTTTGGAACAGTAGGAACGCTTAGGATGTTTTGATTTCCCATCATAATCTTCTTCTTACTTTCTTCTCGACGCACCTCAGAAAACGCTTCACGAATTGAGGGCAAGGACCTCATCCCAAACACTCTCCCCTTGACTTCATCAAGGTTTTAGTTTAGCCCAAGTAAGAGTTTCGAGACTCTCTCCTTCTCGACTATTTTCCTGTATTTGGCAGCATCTCCAGGGCAATCCCAGTTGTGTTCTTTAAAGACTTCCAATTGTTGCCAAAAACAGGTAAGGGTGTTACAGTATTGAGTGACAGTAAGATCACCTTGTCGCAAGTCATGAAGGCTACTTTTAATCTCTAATAATTCTGTTGTATTGTCGTTGTCGGAGTATGTTTCCTTTGTCGCATCCTAAATTTCTTTTGCAGTTCCATAGAACATGAAATTCTACCCAATTTCACTGTCCATGGTATTAATCAACCACGACATCACCATGTTATTCTCTGATCTCTAAGTTCGAAATTTTGAGTCTTCCTTTTGAAGAGGTATGGCAGCGCCGGTGAAATAGTCGTCTTTTCCTTTTCCTGATATGAACATCATCACCGATTGAGCCGTTGAAGGTAATTGTGTCCGTTCGACTTATGCCCAGTTATTGGCAGTGCGAGACTTTCAGATCCGGCATGGCCGCCGCGAGAGATTTGTCCTAGGCTGGAAGAGGCGTCAGATATGCTGCTTTTATCAGTGGTCATTCCGTACTTGATCATCAATAGAAATTTTTGCGGTTCAGAGGCTGCTCTGATACCATAAAGAAATATATGGGAGAAAAAACTTCTTGATATTTTTATTATTGTTATCTTTGGAATAAATAGGAGAGGAAACCTTCACAATTAGGTTAACCAATTTTTTGATTCTAGGAAGTAAAATGGGAAACTAACTAACAAAATCTTGGAGATTTGGATACTATATCTTCATCTCTTTATTTGAAACTAACAAAATCTGCTAAATAAAGTTGCTAACTAATTATCTTGAAATTTCCACAAAACCACTGTACTAGTATTTGTATAAGTTTAGAAAAAAAAAAAAAAGTATACCAAAATATAGATGTAATGCGATGATGAAGGCTGAGCACTAAAAGTTAATGACCTATGACTCATTACCATACCTTTACAACTAATATCTTACCCTTAAAAGCTCATGGCTTGGAAACCACCTGTTACATTACAGGAAGCCCCCTCTTACCAGCTTTGAATTGGCAATTTTATACAATACAAAACAAAACTTAATTTCTATTATAATTTGTGTTTACATTAAATTCTAATTTATAACCCTTCAATTTTTCCATTTCTATATATATTTTTTTAAATCTCGTTTTGAGTAGTGCTAAAGTTTGCCATTCTGAATATTTTATGAGTAACATATGGGTGGGTTAACTGGAACATTGAACCTTTGCCCCCATAAACCAACCTAATTTTCAAGTTAAAGAACAATGCAGATTTTATGTGTACTGTTTGAGTAAATTGATGATGGTGTCTTCCAGTCACAAAAATTAGTGTTTATAAGTCAGCAGACCCTTTAAAAATTAATATTTGTCAGCACTAATCTACTATATATTATCTGAACTCTGATACTATTAGATGAGTCTAACCCAATGCTTATTTAATTTGGTCATGGCAAACCACCACAACAACCTCCTACCCCACCCTTATATCATATTGTAAAAAATTCTGGTTTATTTTAATGATCATACTTTGGTATCATTTGTGAGACCTCTAAATTATTGGGGATAATTCTCAAAATAGTATGATCCAATTTGAATGATCATGGGAAGCAACATCCCTTAAAACAGCAAAAAATGACCAAAAGCAATTTGAATTATACTTCACAATGAAGCCAATTTGACAATCTTCTGATCCAGTATGTGAATTATTTAAATCTGCAGATGAGACCCAAAATTTGATCCACCAATCTAAACCAACCTAACAATTGTTACCATTTTAATTCATGAAGCATAGCCATAGACATCCTCCTCAGCATCCAAGAAACCACTAGTGACCCCAATTTATTGGGAAAAAACCCTCTAGGTGAATGAATGAAGATGTAAATGGTAAAATCCAAAGCTGTAGGATTTTCACAAATATTTTACCAAACTGTAGAAATGTTTTACCAAAATGTCTTCTTTCTTTCTTACTTTTTTATTTTTTATTTTTCCTTTTTTTAACAGAATTAAATTAAATTATACATGATTTTAAAGAAAGAATAAAATGACACCACTAAAATAAATAAATAAATAAAATCAACATCAAAACCTAAGTTTGTTGATATATACAATCCTCATAGATCTTGGTAGGTTACTTTTTACCTTTTCAAGTTAAAAGTGTTGCCATCACTCAAGTAATTAGAGTCATTCTTGCCACGGTTTTCTTCTTGCCCTCTCTGCTAACTTCTTTTCATGTGTCTGGTTAGGTGATTAAACATTAAAAAGGGACAAACAAATCCCTATCAATTAAGGCACCGAAAGGTGAGATGGAGGTGATCCTACTTTCTCCATCTTTCTATTCCTTTATTTACTTATATATATATATATATATTGAAAAGATAAAGACAAATAAACTAGTGTAAAGTAAAAAATTTCCAAAATTTCTGGCGTCTCTCTCTCTCTCTCTCTCCCTTTTTCTGATGATTAGTCATATTCATTTCCAAATTTTTCCAACAATTAAAAAAATTCCACAGCACCCAAAAGAATCGACATCCAAATTTGACTCTTGATGACTCTTGACCCTCCCTTCACTTAAGAACATTTTAAAATTGAAAATAATATAAATAAAAACACTTAAAAATTAGAAATTATGAGAAAAACTAGAGATAAGGTATTGAATTTGAAACCCACATGTAGAAATTAGAATGAATGTGACAGCATCAAATCAAGGGTAACATAATTACACTACCATTGAGCACTTAGTCTATGGTTCACAATTCCTTGGGAATAAAATTTTGAATTAGCATCAGATCTCCTCCTCCTTATTGATGGGTTAGAATTTAAATAAATAGCCTTTTTCTCACATCCACATCCACATCCACATTCCCCACAATCCCCAAATCCACCTTTGGGGATTTGGAATCCACCACAGCACAGCACAGGTTCGCATTTCTTATTGAATGGGAAGATTATGTTTGTAGAATATATAGAAAAACACAGAGAAAGGGAAGAAAGAAAAGATAGATCATGGATGGAATATATGGATAGAATGAATATGAAGATTAGTTTTGTAGAATTCACACACATACACGTGTGTGTGTATATATATAGAGGGAGAGAGAGAGAGGCAGACATCCACTAACTCAGTGTTATATCAATGATCATAACATTTCCATCTTTTTCCTTCCACTTTCTGCCACCCACTGTTATTTACCCCATATAACATGTTCCAACATCAGAAGTAACTTCTTCCTTTCTTCCCCAGGATTGGAATTACAAATGGACCAAACCAAAACATTAAGAAAAGGAAAAAATGTCAAGTCTTCAATACAAGAACTTGATGACTATTTCTTAAACATAATAATAATCAGTTTCATTTCAAAGGTACATTTAGCTCATTGCAGAAGGGAAAAGGACTAGTAAATAGACCTAAAATCTGACAAATATTGGGAGAAATTGGGCTTAATTTTTTTTTTTTGAAGAAACCCAAAGATTTTCTCACCCTTTCTTACTTGAGCTGTAATAATAATAAACAACAAAAAATGACTTTTCTTCTGAATATGTGACCTCCTTTTCTTCCTTGCTTTCCTCTCATGTTACTGTTACCTTCTTCCTCATCAACCACCAACAAACCAAAAATAAAAGAAACATCTGTTATTTACCAAAACCGCTATTTTCGCGATCACAAGGCTCCGTAAAAAAAATGATTAAGGTTCTACTGAGCCATGAGCTGGTCAAGCTGCATTTGCTCAAGCCATGCACCCAAAACTGTTTGATCAACTGGTTCAATCCCGGAATTCAAATTTGAGCCCTCGCTAGAAGAAGATGCAGCAGCAGCCGCTGCAACTGAGACAGGCATTGCCGAGTTTTCCTTTATCTCTTGTGGAGATTCCTTGACAAGTGACTGAACCCATGACAGATCAGGCTCTTCTCCATTGTTCCCAAACTCAAATGATGATGATCTACGAAGCCTACCAAATTCTTCAGTATTATTGGCCCAGTCTGGCTTCCCATTGGAGGAACCCCACTTTGACCAAGGGTCAATGGAGGAGCCAATATTGGCAGCAGAATTGGAGCCAAGATCACGCGAGCTAAGGCTGCGGAACTGTTGCTTCTCACGTTGAGCAAACATGGAAACCCGGGAGCTCATTGGCGAGATAGGTTCAACATTTCGGGGAGACATCCTCCCTGAAGATGGACCACCATAAGAGGCCTGTAGTAGAGGGTGCTCAACACTTTTTGGTGGGAAATTTGTGTTAATTGGAGATAACATTCCCTGCTGCTGCTGAAACTGATTGAGAACTGCTGATTTGGGCGTTGGGGAGAAAACAGCTGAAGCCAAGGCTTGATCAGAATACCATTGAGAAGAGCTCTCGGCAGAGAAAAGATCCTCTAGGTTTGAAGGGGTTACTGTTTTTGAAGAGACGGAGCGGTTCAAGGAATTAGTACTGCTGATGCTTGGTTGAGTAAGGCGGGATAGTTCATTCAGAAGCTGCTGCTGTTGCACATCAAAATCCGGCAACAAATTCACCTCATCTGCTGGAACATCTCTCGCATTAAGAGATGATCGCAAGCGACTGGACTGGAGATTGCTTCCTGGGAGATGCAATGTTGGGACATTTGGTTGCGGCCAACCCATGTTGGAAATGTTGTTGGCTGATGGAGACATGGGTGGAGTGAATGGTGAAGGGGACAATATAGAAACTGATGAGGGAGAGCCCGGCAACAGACTCATGGCTGCAGCAAAATCCACAGCATTCATACCAGATGAACTCGAGCGAGGGGAGGGAACAGCAGAACCAGTGGCGACATACAACGGTCGTAATTCATCAGGTGTGTGGGCAAAGAAGCATACTCTTCTATTGCAATTTGTACCATCTTTGCAAATTCTGGTTCTGTATTGAGCTGGATGGAGCCAGCACTCAAAAACCCCATGTGCATATTCGCACATATCTCCACGTCTACAAGCTCCCTTTCGGAAATCAGGGCAAGGAACACAACTGTAATGGTACTTCCTTGGATCCCTTCTTCGAGCATTTTCTCCAGGATGAACAAAAGGGCACTCGGTCCAATCATGGGAGTATGCACGAGAACAAGGCCGGACCTTGAAAGAAAACATTCGGAACTCATCTGTTGAATAGATGCTGTTCTTGATATCAGGCAATGATGGGTCAACAGGATACTCTTTCTTGTCTGAAGCAGAAGAAAATGGGAGGTCATTGACCTTCAAGCTCTTTGGTGAAGAAGTTGAATCTGTAGCAGATGGTGAGGATCTATGTTCTGGAGATGGTGAAAGTGGTGGAGAATTTGAATTCAAAGTTGCCATGGACACCCTCAGATTACACTCCGTGCTGGGACCATTTGTTTCGAGAAGTTCTTCAAGGGTGTGCTTCAGATCTTTGGACTTTGGAGAGACGACAATAACATCAACAGGCCTACAACCATTGGCATCTACCAAACTTGGATCAGCACCAACTGCTAAAAGCAGTTTCACAACATCGACGACATTCACTGAACCACCAGACGCTGCACAATGCAGGGCAGTGCTTTTATCAAGGCCACATGACCTATTCACATCAGCATCGGATAGAGAAAGAATCAGTTTCAAAACATCAATACTACCATATGTAGCCGCAACCATCAAAGGGGTTCTATGCTCAAGGACCATTTGCTTTGAGCACTTTTGGCGGCCATACCATAATCCGATCTCATGAATACCAGATGGATCACACTCAACCAATCGTTTGAAGCCTTCAATGTCATTATTAGCAGCGAGTTCAAGCAAACTCACAAAAGCATCTTCAGCCTCGATACTCAAGTGATTCATGTCCATCTTAGTAGTTCTACTCTGTCAAAGGCAAAGGAGGAAGGTGGAGTTGGAAACAATCTGGGTTTTAATTGTTCCGGTACACAGCACATGCTTTCATTTGCTAGAAATCCAACTGAAACCAAAATAAAATGAAATGAAAAAAATTAATTAATAAATAAATAAAAGAAAAAAAAAATCCATTATTAGAATCAAATTTCATACAAACCTATCATCTCATATAACAGAATAACAAATATCAATTAAGATACCAGCTGAAAGACGATATCAATCTCCATAAATGAAATCCCAGAACAACAAATTAACCAAGATCGCCAGAAGTAGAAGAACTATACAGAACTAGTCTAACAATAAAATCCTAACAATACTTATAAAATATAAAATAAATAAATAAATCTCAGCAATAAATGAAATGAAGGGAAAAAAATATATATCTTAGTTTATATGCTAGGTCTCTGTGTATTGAAATTGTTGGAAAATTTTGGGCGCAATAATAGAGAATAAAAGGGGAAAGTATAGAATTTGGAATGAATTAACTTTGTTACATATATTTGCACAATTAGCCGTATGAAGACGGTACCTAATTTGGACAACAAAAAATAACCATCTTTAAGTCGAATCTCTGGATAATCAGATATATTAAGACACATAAATAATAGGAGAAAATATAGGATAACGCTAATCATCTCAAATTTTTAATTGCAAGAAATTAAAAAAAGCAGGTGAGAATCACAAGTATATAAAGAACGAAATTTTATTTTCATTTTTTTTATTGATTTGTTTTTACCATTATTTGGAACCATATAAAACAAAGAAACAGAAATAAACTGTACCTAATGCAACTACTTTGATGAGCTTAATTTTAGACAAGTTTTTATAATTTTTGGAAACAAAAACAACAGTAAACTTAGGATTGAAAATTTTCTTTTCTAGAAAAATCAGCTCTTAAGAATGAATGAATGATCAAAGCTTTGTACATGAAAGGCCTAATTTTTATCATAAAGAAATAGCACCAAAAAAAAAATTGCACAAACAAAAAAAAAAAGAAAAAGAAAAAGAAAACAGAATATGAAAGGTTAAGAGAAAATCAAATGAACATAGTTATGAAGAGAAAATCAAATCAACACAACTGAGAAAAAAATAACTAACACTAGCAACAAAATAAAATCAAATAGTCACACAGATTAAAGTTGTCAAATGTGTGTGTGTGTGTGTATATATATAGTCACATAGATTAGAGAAATAGAAGCCCATTAATAAAAATCAGGGTACATAATCACGGGACCATGATCAGATTATAAATAAATAAGTATATGTAGGTAGAGAAAAAGAGATGATTGAAAGAAAACATTACAGATTCATAGCTAAGAACAATAAAGTAACAGGATTAAACCCCAAGAGTAATAGAGAGAGAGAGGAAAAAAAAAAATCAACTTTAAGTGTGAAAGGAAGGGAAAAATACAACAAAAACAAAGATCAGAGAGTACATAAAATTAGAAGAGAATGCTTTTAAAAGAAGAAGATTTTGAGAATAAATCAAAAAAATGGAATGGAAGTAGTAGTTTTTGCTTTAAATGGAAGAGACTTACCGGGTTTATGGGTTTCACAGATCTAGAGAGAGAAAATATACAGAGAGAGAAAGAATTATGAATGGTATGGAACAAGAAAGTTGTGAGCTGAGGAAGAGGAGAGAGCTTCTTCTTCATCCATCGCCATTTCCTATGCTCACTCTCTCACAAAAACGGAATTTGTATTAAAAAATATATTTTTTATTTTTAATGTTCTTTTGTTGGAAAAATCGCCTATCCAATAACGGATCTCGAAATTACAATTTTAAAAAAGAAAAGAAAAATAAGGCTAAAAATGTAATTTTGTTGTTTGGCTGTGAATTATGTACTGCCGTGCACTTTGCTTTCTCTACAATCGCAAATAAAGTTGTGCTGCGTGAGAGAAAAAAGGGTACTTCTGTCAGTTCAAATGTTTATAACTTAAAGGTAGTACGTACATGGTAGAGAAATTATTAGATACATTTATTTGCATTATGATCGGCCAAGATTAAATAATCTAGAACCATGTAGACTATGACTATGATTATGACTTTATTCCGACAGATTATATTTTTTTGTTTTTTTTTTTTTTTGTTGGACAAACACTGAAAATGTGAATTACCTGATTGGTCCCTGCAACTAAGAATGACAAAGTTTGACACGATTCGACAACACAATTCGAACACGACACGAGTTAAATAGGTTTTGATTATTTTAAACGGATTCGGATCTTGAACGGGTCGACGCGGTTAACCCGTTTAGTTAATCGTGCCGTGTTTAGATTGAAGGGATCAACCCGTGTAATCCATTTATACCCGTTTAAGTATACGTGTTATAAGTAAATTTATATTTAAGTTATAAAATAACTATCTAAACTTGTATCTTATAATTTATTCTTTTGTAAATTAGAGATTATTTAGTAATTTGATTGGATTGAAACTTATATTTTTTTAGTATTTAATGTTTAATTGAGTATTATTAATAATTTAAATAATAAAGTATTTCATTTTATTAAACAGGACATTAAACTGGTTACACGTGTAATCCGTTTAATAAAGGATTAGTGTTTAGAATATACAATTATTAAATGGGTCATGTTTGGATTGAGCTGTTTAGTAAAATACCTTTAGATCGACACAACACAAAAGATATTAATTCTAATTTCATTGGTTGACAGTGAGCTAAAAATATTACTTCTTCTGTCCTAAAATAAATGTCTTATCTCAAAATAAATGTCCCAATTCTTCAAGAGATATTTATTTTGAGATAGATGTAGTACAATAGTTACACTGATTGCCTACACTTTTCTACTCCACCAATAGGCTTATATTTTTTAGTGGCAAATTATGAGATATTACATTATTATTGTCAGCAAATAAATAAATAACATAATTATTCTCAAATAAAAGAGCTAGTATTCACACACTATTTTTCTTATTTGCATTTTTAAAAAGAAAATAACATCATTATCCTACATTCATATTGCATAGTTATTGCAAAATATTATCGTTAATTCTGGCATTTTATTTATAAAAAATTGAAGTACTCCGTCCAATAGAAGTGAATAAAAATCAATTATGATAATGCTCTTCAATTTGAATGGGACAAATGTAACGAATCTATAATAATCACACTCTCTTATCTTTTAGGAACTAAATTTGTCATTTTATTTATTAAAAAATTTAAGTAGATCATTAGAGTACAAAATTGTAGGCAAATGTCACATCTCTAAAAAGAATTTGACACTTATTTTATTTTCTTAAAAATAATAATAATTACCATCGTGAATGCAAATGAAGGGAGTTTTAGTATTTTTATAAAAGTACAAGGGTTATTTTGTACATTTACATATGAAGTGGCACAAGGGTTACTTTGTACATTTACATATGAAGTGGCACGAGGGTTATTTTGTACATTTACATATGAAGTTTCACAAGGGTTATTTAGTACATCACGCGCTCAAAGTGAAATTAATAAGGAAAAAAATGAAAAGTGAAATTCAATGGAAATTCGCCCACATTCACTCTAAATGATGAATGAACGTTAAATCTTGGGAAGTCAAGAATCCACTACAGTGATGCTATCAGAAATCATATACAATCTGATGACGTGGGAAAATAATTATGGGCATCGATTGGATGTGTATATTCCTCATTTGTTATATATGTAAGATCCGTTTTGAATCGAGTTACAGACATTTAAGCAAAAAAATTGATTTTTTTTTTTTGGGACTCGAAATACTCATTAAAATTTATATATGAATGATTTTCAAGTAAAAAAATTAACGTTCTTATTTTTTATTTTTTCTAAACTCACTGTTGAAAATTATAAACTCTTGACAAATTAGGAAGAGAAGAGTTTGGACGTTCTATTAACTAAGTTACAAAGTAATATTTCATTTAGGAATCTAATTTTTAAGAAATAGTACAATTAAATTAAATAAAGCAAGATGAAACACCATATTAAATTGTTAAAAATATGCCTCTAATGCGGTAACTCTTTGTGCTTGGAGAAAAGTAAGGCATGCAGCAGGTGTGACACTTCTACTGGTTTAACTACAGATATTATACTCTGTTTGTGCACGTGTATCTTAAAAATGCAACTACCATAGCTACAAAAGCACATATCTACTAATTGTTTACTAAATATGGGTAGAAGTGACAAGTAGAAATTTATTGAGATATGATTTTATTGTGACCCTCAATAAATACTCATTTTTGCCAAATAAATAAATAATAATAATAATAAATACTCATTTTTATTTCGCAATGTTTGGTCTGCTTTCTATTTCAGTTTGAGTAGGTGATTTTGTTGTGATTTACTTGATATCTAAGGCAATTTAGAATTTGAAATAAATTAAAATTTGTATGATTTTTATCCTCATATATAAAAATGTATTGATTAATATAGAAGTAAGAATTTATTTGGTCAATAGGCATAAGCCATTAAGGAGGTCATAGACAATGAAAAAACAATATATAAAAATACATAGTTGTTGTCAATGAAGCTAACAACTACTATATTATAATAGCATTAATCAAGTCTTAATTTCCTGGCTATATATATCTATATTATTATAACAATAGTGTTTTATTATAAAATATTGGAATTTCATAACCATTTTAACAGTATGCAACTGCCAAGTTGCCAATATTGTATTAATTTTGTCATTGTGGACATCGAACTTAGTTTTGCTGCTAGTGCTACATTGCATTCGGTTACTCTTTCAACTTTCTGCCATATACACAAATATCTTTCATTTTCAGGTTTTTAGATGTGGACGTACATGAAAGGAGCATAAGTTCTCTTTTTTATTTTGATATATTGAACAATACACCACTAGTATACAAACGAAGATAAGAGCTGATGTCCCCGTCACATATAATATAATACAACATTACATATATATATATAAAATTTAAAACAATGCCCCCTAAAATTTTTAATTTTTAAAACTTAATTTTATCTGAAACTCTATAAAATTCTTTAAAAAAAGGTAAAATTTTCCTTCTTGTTTTTTCCCCGACTCAAATTGAATATGCAGGGCTCTTATTGAACCCGCTCTTTTCAACCACCTCTAGATTAGTACCAAAGATATGTGTAAGATATTTTCTTATATTTGTGGCCCACATGATTTGGATACATAATTTATTTCTATTATTTTGTGATTAAATAAAATAGATATCAGATTAATATTACATTATTTGGTTAATTTATAAATTATCTTTTTGGCAATTAATTATTAGAGAAGTGTGTTCCTATTTATTTCTTACTTTGATGGAAAGGGAAATTAAAATTACTAAAAGGTAAATTGATCCTCTCTCTACCTTTATAAAAGTGCATATTCTCATCAATTATGTACGCTAATGAAAACAACACGTATAATGTTTATGTGTGTAAAAGGCCAAGAGAGAGAAATCAGTTTCCACAAGGTTTGGCTATTGTTTGTACTTACATTTATCACATTATTCGTTCCGCAAAAAGGATCTCGATGTTTGGTTTGATCTCAACAAGATTTGTAATTATAGATCGAGGTATTTTTATCTAACTATTTTATTTATGCATTATAGCAATATGAAGATAATGAAGTTCTATGATCTTAGAATTCATGTTTATTTGTAATTAATAACTTGACACGAATTATTAAAATTTACATACGGTATCAACGCATATGGTTTAGGATCTCATTATTTTCCAATAATATTGCATAAATAAAAATAAAAATAAATAATTGATTAATATTTTCTTTTGGAATTAGTATGTATAGGCACACAGTGTGCGTTTTTTCCATAGATGAATATATTGTACGATTATGAACCAAAACTACCAATTACTCTACCTTCTATTCATTAAACTGTGGGGTTAATCCGTGGCATGTAGATCAGTTTTTTTTTTTACTCATATTTTACAAACTTTCAACTGATTATACAAAAGCAAAGAAAAAACTAATTGACAATCAAGATATATGAGTTTGTTTCTTGATTTCCGTGCATAATTGGAATAACACATGAAATTGAAAGTTTTAATAGAATTATGTTTGTTATTGTTCTTTACAAACTTATTGTTATATAAGTTGTTGTCCAATAATTCAAAGATTTTATTTTAATTATTTAAAATAAATAAATAAATTATTAAATACATAAAGCATGTGTATTTATTTATTTTATTGAAAATCTGAATTTCTAGAATAATATGTGAGTCTAGAAATTTAATTTGATCTTATTAGACATACAAAGAAATGATTATTTTGTACCCAAACATATATACATGATGGAGAATCAATTTTAGATTGATTTAATTATGATTTCCAAGTCCGAAAATAAGAATAATATGTTTTATTATATATATAAACTAAAAGGATATTTTTATTGAATTTTTGGACTATTAAGTTTTTGGGATCGAACCTTCTTATACTAGGATCGATCAGTATAAGTATGTGTATATAATGTTAATGTTTAAATTAATGATTAATTAGTTACTAGTTAATTTAATATTCATATTATGTAAGGGTTAGTAACTACCCAAGTAGTCTAACCATAATGATTGATGAATGTTAATTTTAGTAGTAAACATAATTAATGATGAACTAGTCACTAGCTAATTATTCATTTATATTATGTAATATGAATATTAAATAGCTTATTGTCTATTTATATTATGTAATATGAATATTAAACTAGTAACTAGCTTATTGTCTATTTATATTATG